GTCGACGCAAGATGACTCGAGGTTTTCGGCAGCGCATACGAAGAGTGCTAACGAAACTCAAGAAGTGTGAAAGCAGGGAAAACGGAGCTTCGGACCTAAGGGAGCAGCTGCTTGAGCAACTTCAAGCTATACAACAACAACGCAGAAGACTGCGGAGGCGGAACCTCACGCGTCAGCACACTTGGACCGGAAAATCCAACGCCAAGTTTTTCTTTCGCAGAATATGCACGAAGTTTAGTGACAACATTATTCATGATCTCAAGCAGAGCGGACTGCAACCGAAACGGGATCCTGCGGACAAAGCTAATATTTTAGCAGATGCGTGGTTTCCTGTAATGAACAGCGGTAGCGTGGACGTCAAATCTATCGATGAATATGTGGAGCGGCTGAAGAAAGGGTGGGCCAAATACGATCTAGAGATATGGATGACACAATAACAGAAGCAGAAGTGGAGGCAGCCATTCGCAAGTGCAAGCGCGGGAAGTCCGCAGGCCCAGACAAACTTGGCAACGACTGGTACAAGGATCATTGTGATATTCTGGTGCCACTTTTGACGATTTTGTACAATCGATGGATAGAGGAAGGAGCCTTTCCGTCGAGCTTCCAGCAAGGCTACATCTTCAGTATTAAGAAAAAAGGAGATGCGAGCTTGCCACTGAACTATAGACCGATAGCCTTGCTAAACTCCGACTACAAGATCCTGACCCGCATCTTCACACGAAGACTGCGCTCTCACATTTCGAAGCTGGTCCACGAAACACATTTTGGGTTTGTTCCCGGCCGAAGAATACACACCGTTATCAACTTGTTCGAGGCGGCAAAGGGCGTTTGCAAAACCAACCCAGAACTTCTAGACGCTCAAGCACTCCTACTCGATTTCGCTAAAGCGTATGATACACTCGATCGTCACTACTTGCTGGCAGTGCTACGGGCCAAAGGGTTCCCGCCCAAATTTTGCCGCATGGTCGAAGTGACGCACGCCAATACAACAGCCACGTTTCTTGCTAATGGATACCCTTCGGCGCCAATACCAGTTACTAGAGGCATAAGACAAGGCTGCCCACTCGCTCCCTTACTCTTTATTCTAGCTGTCGACCTCCTCTATGACGAACTCGAGGCAACGGCAGATGCGTGTGGCATCATGCTACATGGGCAAACCGGAGCTTATCGACTTCACGTTGCTGGATATGCTGACGACACTGCAATATATATCAAGCACCGGAACATGCAAGCCGAAATTATCGCAGCGTTGGGACGCTTCTCAGAGCGGTCGGGGCTCCAAGTCAACGTCAATAAATCAATTGCGATCCCCCTCGGAAGTTTTCAGGCTAACCCTGCTCGCGAAATGAATGTTGGCATGCCCATAATTGCTGAACAAGAATGCCGATACTTGGGTCATTGGGCTGGAAGTGAAGATACTACAGCCACGGAGTAAAGCTTTTGCGGCGCTAACTGTTCGACTAGCACTTGCCGTGGAAAAAACGAACTCAACTGCGCAGCGAGTGGATATTGCCAACGCTATTATCATACCAAAACTACTCTACATAGCGCAACACGCGATTCCACACTCATCGGTAAAAGGCTGGGTGACTGCAGAAGTACTCGAACTTTCCATAAAAGAAGGTGGACTGGCAATGCCTAACCTAAGTGTAGAGCTACATGCCCTCAGCGCGCAAACCGTAGGCGACTGGGCTCTCGAGAGCTCGGGAATTATCAGAGTGGCTGGGGAAATTTTGCGCTCGCGGGACGGTATAACAGAGACGATGATCACTCCAGTGTGGCGCGGGAAGACCCCCAAAAATCTCCGAAATTCGATGTGGACAAATGGTAGCGTCTGGGTGGCGCGCTCGCTAGCACCAGCCTTCCCGGAAAATAGTATCAGCGGACAGACCGCATTGCTGGCTAAGTTTCGAAAGCGACACGGTGTCACAACACGATGGATAAATGGCGAGTTAGTGTGTGATCTCCGTTCAATACTCGTCGGAGTTCAGACTTACGCACGCTTCCTAGAAGAACGATTCGGTCGCTTTGTCGGAGACGGTGTAAAGCAGCTGAAACTACGCGATCTGCCACTCTTTACGACTACGGGGCAGCTTGAAAAAATGTGCAAACGCTTTTCTCTACTGGCACCGGCTTCATCCAGAGTAATTGATGTTTTTAACTGGGAATTGGTGAAACCGGGCGTTGTCAAGTGGAAATGCAGCAATTTTGCATATCGGATGGCGTCCCAACTTGCGCATCAAGTCCGTGATCTCTCGTTAGTGATACTGGCAAATTTTCCTGGGGTGGCTCTGACGAAGCTCAGGAGTAATGACATTATTGTCAGCCACAAATTACCAGACCCACACCATGAATTCCTGCTTAGTGACGGACCGGCGCATTTGTAACTCACACAGGGGGCTCTATGGAGCCTAGTGTTCTGGAGCATACCACTCCACCACTGTTAGATCAAGCCATAGCCACTTTTCTCGGGGTGCCCGTCGCCACGGTGTGGACAGTTCCCCACCAACTGGTGACTCGCTTGGCAGTCACATGGGCCGGAACGGCAAGGTGGCCGCAAACTCGAGCGAAATACAAGCGTCAAGCTGGAGAGAAAAGGATGTTGAAGGGGATACAACGAATCGAAAACGCAGCAATTGCGTGGGCCCGAGAAAGCGGTGTTATCAGCTCGGCTTTGGACCAAGTCCAATGGATGAGCATTTCGAGAATCCCAGGCACCTCCTCATACCTGCACTCACTCCTGTATAGACTCAAACTCCGTGCTTTGTCGCTGTGGGTCCCACCGCTCAAGCGCCAAGCATGCCCCCCCCCCCGCGGAATGCACACATCACGTCAACATCGCTCTCTCTCATGTCTTTTGGGAATGCCCGTACGCGCAAAGGAGGTGGAAGACTACTCGAAGCATTTTTGCGCAGCTTGATACTGAGTCCAATGCACCGAGCATTACCGAAATCTTCTCGTGTAGACTGACTTATCCTCCTGGGAAATGCGTGCGTTACGGAATGGAGTGGGCAAAACAGAACTCCCGTTTGCACAAGTTACAGACTACGGATGCAGTTCATGCTGTCGTCAACAAATATTGGAGCTTTGCCGTGGTAGAAACGCTAGCGTCGATTTGGCGAGCCCGCGTGGATATGATTTACAACACGAAGAGCAACAAATGAACGGGACGCCTCTTTTCACGCTCGGCTACAGACCGGTTTTGATATTGTGGCTTCAACATTCCAACTAGATAGGAAAAATGCGGGCGACTGGGCCAGCGCCATGGACACGAGGAAGCGTCTGCGCCAACAAAACTCAGACGACATCGTAGCTCCGGGAGAGTCCATCGCAGCCCGAGCACTATGTTGGCTTCTTCGATGGAGGATCGCGTGGAAATCCTGGACCAGGCGGAAGTGGAAGTGTACTCATCCAGGTCGACGAGTGCGGGGTACCACGAATCGTCTGGTTGAGCAGCATCTCGCTGCTACGTCCTACGTGTACAAACAATTTCGCAGAATTCAACGGATTGCTCCGATTGCTACACCACGTGGACAAGCGCAAACTCAAACAGGTGCACATAGTAGGAGATAGTCAACTTGTCTTACGGATGATACGGGAGCGCAGGCGCCAAAAGCTCGGGTGCTTCAGCCTATTTATGACAGAGCACGGCGCCTAGCAGACTCGGTGCGCGTAGCTTCATGGAGACACCACTACCGTTGCCACAACAAGATGGCAGATTGTCTTGCGAACCTCGCTATGGATTCCAGACGAAGTCAGCAGGATGAACCCATGAATAGGGACCTGGCGGAACGACGATACCCGGGCGTTCTCAGCTTCTTGATGAATGACTACAGGAAATGGGCAGACACGAACACAGGACAAGAAATCCTCATGCCCTCTTCTCTCTAAGCGAAGCCACGGCTTAGCTTATATGGACATGCACATCTTACATATCAAACCCACTCCTCGCGCTCTTGAGGATGGAAGGGGGATTAGAAGTTCGGCCACAAGGCCAGTATCAATACACCTCAACGGTATTAAAAAAAAGATATGCCTCATAAGCTCCCCACGCTGTGAGATCGTCGGTGGCCCAAACCTTGGCCTCCAATTCCGGATAGGGTAGAAACGCGAACAAATGCCGCAAGGTAGGAGGGTGTTTCAGTAGCTCTTGGGCAATACTGCGAGCCGTACTTCTTCGTCCAATGGTCGGGAGGTTGAGCGCTTTCTGATAAAGCGTGCACCGGCGCGTGAAAGCTTCGCGATTAGCCGCGTGAATAAGTTCGTACAGAGGTAGATCATCCTTCTGGACAGAAGTTGGGTTCTCGGCCTGCAGAATACGGAAATATAAATCCTCCGAAATCTCTCCGCTCGACACACGAGGATACCTATTGGGGGTGGCGACCTCAGATGGCGTATCCTCATCGCTATCCTGCGACCCACTCGCATAGCCATCAATTCCATAGGTCTCCTGAAGCATGCATTCCTCCTGAACAAGAAGCAAGTCAAGCTCCTCTTCATCGTCATAGCCCTCCTGCTCGAGCGTCGGCCGCCCCATGCGGGCATGAACGATGTCAAGCCGATCCCGGAGAGTCACTCGTTTGATGATAACGTTGTTTACACTCGGTGTGTTGCTCAGTTTGTTTAGCAATTCGAGGGGGGCATCCTCTCCAGGAAGGATCGAGTTGACCGTAGCTTTCCAGGCGTATGTGTCAGACACCATCGCACTATACTCTCGATCTCCTTCAGCCCTCCATTTGACGAACTACTCACCGTGCGCCACGCCGTTGAAGTGGTGTTTATCCTCGCGTAAAATAAGGAAACGTGGCAATACATGGAGACTCCAGCATTCGAAGAGATAGTCACGAGCTTGCCGGTCAGTTAGCGCCTCACAGTAGCCAGTCTCATGGTCATCGCCGTTCTTCAGTCGGAAATCCTTGTACATGTAGCGCTGCAGCTGCGCATCACCGGACTTGTTCATTCTGAGCACCAAAAGCGGTTCCCGCAGATATTGCGCCATAGCCCTCAATTCGTGCGGCCCAGCCCAGAAGCTCTTGGGAACCTGCACGTTGGTAGCGCGAGTTCTCTCTTGAGCGTAATGAGCAAATAGCGAAGCCGTTGCGGCATCTCTGTTCACATGCAAAGGTTGGTTGGGGAAAGCACGATGGGCTTCCAGTAGCGGGTCGAGTAAGCCGAGCTCCACGTCATAGCGGAGGTTGGCCATCATTAGCGTGTAGACGCCCTTTTTGATCTCGGAGGCCTGTCGGGTGTCTGCCGCCGTTGACGTGAGGCATGGGCGCGCGTGGTTTGACATAGTAGCATATAGCGCAAGAAAGGCACATTGCCCGTTGCGAGCCACATCCACAGCCGTGCCCGCGAAGCTTTCTAGCCAGTGCGCAGCTTGGATCGGAAGATCAGCGTCGCCCTCTGCGCTGCCCACGTGCGGCCTGCCCATGGTGAATTCTTCCTGTGAGCCCGATGCGGCAGGGACGATGTCATCATGGAGAGGAGCCGGCGAACCAGCAGCGACAGCAGGTGGGAGCGACGGCGTACTGACGAAATCAACCAGGGTAGTTTGTACGAGTGGAGGCGATTTTCAGTCAGGTTCTGGAATAGCGGTCTCAACCGAAGCTGCTATGGAACATCGACCGGCCGAAACAGGGGGAAGGTCTCCATCATCAGGTCCCTCCATTTCAACGTCCTGTGCGGTATGGTCGACTTGGGTGGGGCGACTAACATCAGGAACTTCCGTCATATCCACGTCCTCAGGGGCGTTGTCAACGGCATCAGCATCATCTTCCTCGTCACTGTCCTCGTCGGCAAGAACGCTGTAGCGGCCGAGTGCTTCCTCTCGTTGAAAAGCTACGAAACTCTCCTTGGTGTGGCCTCTAGTCCGAGCCTTTGGTGCAGCAGGTGGGCTGTTCCCTTTGGGCTGACGCGAGTTCACGCCTTTGGTCGCCACCATCTTGACCGAGGCGTCGGCGTTCTCGCGGCCTGAATTCGCCTGAGTGTTCGGTGCACGTGCAGCCCGCTTGGCACGCTCCGAGAGTTTGATCGTGTAACCATCGCTGCTACCAGGTACGACCCGTTGCACTGCATTGTGGGCCCTCTCGGGACCCGCCGGCGTCTCGGCAGCGCTTGGGCCGTTCGCTGTAGTCTCATTGATCGTGCCACTCAATCCGGCCACATCTTGGGGGAGTTCATTCACCGTCTCCGCGGATGCAAAGGCCGCTTCTTGGACCGTAAGAAGGGCAATTAGCTCGGAGCCGTCTTGGACGCGATAGCTGTCAAGCGCTGACGGGCAAAACTTCGAAACGGAACCCAGGATCGTACGACTACCCCGCGCCTTTAGCTGAGGCAATGTGAAGGCAGTAGCTTTGCACCGAGATGTGCCATCGCGTGGGCTGAAACACCGGGAGCAAGGGATACGAAGGTTCGTTTGGTAATGATGAAGGACCAGTGTTAGGCCGTCCATCATTAGCCGGGTTACTCCGTCGAGCACCTGGGGACACCCCGCTTGAGCAAACCGGACAATGTGATAGCGGTTATCGTAGATCTCCGTTTTGGTAGTGCGCGGGAATTCCACATCGAGAACCTCAGCACTGGTTAACTTCGCGAACGCTCTGGAGAGAGCGGCCAGTCCTAGAGGGCCGCCACCGTACACCGCATGTTTGGCCGGGCAGCTCGTGGGTGACACCGCGGACCAAGCTGGATATCTGCGTTGCTGCACGCGGCGACGTATTGTGGCGGTTTATTACCGTCAGCCGGAAGGCGGGGCCTGTGGGGGGCCCACAGTGGCGCTACTTGTGGCTCACCGCGCCGTTTCCCACTACAAACCAGGCCACGGGTGACACCGTGGACCCACCTGGATGGCGTCCACGTCTTGACTGGTCACCTTGGCGTAGCAGCTCACGGGTGACACCGTGGACCAAGCTGGCTGTCTGCGTTGCTGCGTGCGGCGGCGTATTGCGGCGGTTTATTACCGTCAGCCGGATGGCGGGGCCTGTGGGGGGGTCCACGGTGGGCTACGTGTCCATCGCGCCGTTTCCCATTAGAAACCAGTCCACGGGTGACGCCGTGGTCCCAACTGAACGTCAGTGCTTTCATGGCATGCGTGCGACTTTGGCAGGTCACCAGGTCGTTGGGTGTGCTTCGCGCAGCCCATCCTCAGCACCGCATTGACGAGCGGACTTCTGCTGTAAGTCGGAGTGGCCTGCGCCACATGAAGCTGACCGCGACAGGATGGATAACCGTGGAGATGCCCGTTCGAGGCGCGGAGGGGTGGAGAAATCGCAATGGAGAGGCAGCTATTCGGAGCGCCTTGGGGAGTCGACAGCGCTGCAGGAGCGCTTCAAGATGGCCTGCAACATATACGGCAGTAAGGAACGCGGATCTGCTTGGACAAGTGCAGTGGAGAGGGCCTCGGTTCTTGAGGGGAAGGGGGCGCCGAAGGGGCGTAGGGACCGCGACGCTGTCCGCGGGGAAATTAGACAGAAGTTGCATGGACCGTTTCAACTATGCGGCGGGCGGACGAGATGTGTAGGCTCGGAAGCGACGCTGGTATCTAGCTCGTTACTTTACTTTAGTAGTTTAACGTGGCTTATACAGGCCTCAACCTTTGAAACTGAAACTCACGGATAGAAACCTTCAGTTTGCGTTCCGACACGTGATGCAGCGTGGATACATTTATAGAAAGCTTTTCGGACGACAACTGACGATCAGGGTTTGGTAGTAGTGGGAATTTTGGCTGAATACTATATCTATTAGTAGTTAGGTATCGATGTTACTAATATGACTACTAATATGACTACTAATATGACTACTAATATGACTACTAATATGACTACTAATAGGACTACTATGACCGACTGACCATCATTCCGGATTCCGACCACAATGGCGCTTACTGGCCTCCATATGAGGTACACTGTAGCGCGCGATGATTCCTCACAAAAGAACCGAGTTAGAGCACGCTTGCTGACGAGCAGCGATCAAGCACATATTTGTTTTCGCGAACCAACAGCACACGTAAATGACTCTTCAAAGCTACTCACTCAACACTCCACACCTGAAAATTGCTTTTTCTATCTCCCACGATCTCCTTGGATAACACCTTGTTACACTCTTCTTTGCCTGAATATTGCGGTCGGCGCAATGCTTGATCACGATACTCAAGCGGTAGAGTGAGGTACTTGAGTTAGATTAAAGTTTGACGACTTCTGAGTAACTTCACGAAAGTCTTCTGGTTGTCTTTGGAAATATGCCGTGCCCAGTATGGCAATCTAGAAGGAACAGGAGGAGGGACAGCGCAAGTGCACATGGGTAGAAGATCATCGGCATGCATGTGCCGAGGTGAAGAAGTTTATAGAGAATTTAAGCGTCATCAAGCCGAAAACAATATCACCCCAAACTGCTAGTAGAATGTTATTTACTTCGTTTATGCCAGCGCAACAGCCAACACCTTACGTTGATGCATGGAGTTTCTAGATTATAAATCCCACATGTGATACCCCAAAAGAGATCATGTACTCGGACGTTTAAGCACTTTACTCTTACTCTGAAGTCAGGCGAATTCACTCGGGCGTACTGAGTAAGGACGGTCCTCAGATGTACAGCTGAATGTGGGCTCCTGGGAGTCGATGTCTCCGCGTTAAAGCCTCTGGCAACAGATGTGCGGCTGCGGAATCTGCATGTCGAGTTTAGTAGTATCGACAAAGACAACCATGAACAGCAGCGTTACCCTTTGAGATAACGTTAGCTTTTTTGCATTTGTCACACAGCACGTTGTTGCACAAATGATGCACCTGTCGGTCGCATACACAGCACGGAACAGTTTCCGATATGGCACTTTGGTGGCAATCACTCTTCGCGCACTGCATGGCACGTTTGCGTGAAGTTGGAAGCCTAGTAAGGGATCCTGACTGGTGCGTGGCCACTCACTCGTGCGATCTGGCCTCGGTTGAGGAATGGGTACATTAGTACAGTGCCTACAGTAATTAGTCTGGGCTCAAAATTAGTCTGGCTTCAAATTTAGTCTGGGCCAGAATAATTCGTGTCGAGCGAAAATTGACGTCTTCATTATTAGTCTGGCTAAAAATGTTCATAATTAGTTTGTCGTGGTGACCACGATTATAGTCAATCTCTACCTACTTTACGGCAATGCTTTTTGAAAAAGCACTTGACAGCAGCCAATTTACCAGATCTCGCACACACAGAACCTGGTATCTCGAAAATATAATAGATACCTGAGTGAACATAGCATCGAACCCATTGAATAGCCTTCTCTAACCGTTAGAGAAGCAGCATCTGCGATGCTTTAGTCTTTATTTCTCCTGAAAGCCACGATAAATATAGGTAAACTATAAAACATATTTGAAAATACGTATAAACATACCATTTCACAAAAATAATGTTTTTTCTTACTGGAAAACGGATGGGGCCATACTAATAATTGTGGGCAATGAAAAATCTGCTATTCAGATTTAGTCTGGCCAGACTAATTACTGTATGGTAATAGCACTAACGGGTATCCCGAATAAAAGCCCTCTGGTCATTTTTGAAATCGGTCCAAAATTAGAAGCCCTACCCGATTACAAGACCGGTAGGCATTATGGGGTCCACATCGTCGGTACTAGCCCAGCACTACAGATACCACCCAGAAACTGCAAACCGTATAAATTGATACCCTTGTGGAATCATGATATCGAGGGACAACATCTCAGGAGGGAGCGCCCGTCACATTGAAGTACCGCCACTGTGTGGTCTACACATTCCATTTTCATTCGCACTTTTTCCACAGACAAAGTCAAGGCAGCACTGAGCACAGGACGCCCAGCCTCCAGAAGCGTTCTAAGGGCACCCAGAAGCGTGTGGCTAACCATCCAGCAGAAGTGCGATATTATTGAGGAGTATCACCCTCTCTCTCAGAAGTAAAAAGGAAGTTTGAGGAAATAGTGGTAGTAACGCACCCCAATCACTTATCTCCTCAGATTATATAATTCCCTGTAGGAACTTGGATGTACCACTCTTTGCAGTTTGTGTGTCGTATCTGTATACTACTAGTGGATGGAAAGAGTATACCGGGTTATGTGATACTCCATAATCGTGATGCCCGCGGTGGAGGAGCTGCATGCAGTGGAGCAAGGGTTTGAAGCCATCGCTGGATTTCCCGGGGTCGTTGGAGCTATCGACGGGATGCTAATTAAGATTCCACGACCCTGGGATTTTGAAGGCTGGTACTGGTGACAGGGAAACACCGATAGTAAGCTCGTCGGTCGCGGCTCGTGGCGCTGTTGGTGCACGGTCAGATGGAAGGCTAGCTTCAGACGTGATTAATGGTTTCAGCAAGCCCCACTTGGACAAGAGCTAGCACACGGAACTAATGGCGCCAGCACATGCCCAATGAATCAATCTCTTAAACCTACCCTTGCGAATATTGCTGCTCAAGAAATCTGTGCTGGCACTTGAACAAGGGCCTTACGTAGGTGGATAATCGATGATACTCTGTATCATTTGCTCGAGAAATATAGGGGGTCATCGTTTGGTCATGATATAGTGACCCTACCCAAATAAAAGACCTTTTTCGTAATTGCACAAAATTGACCCGCTTCTAATAAATAGAATACCGGACAGTACTCGGGCATTTCCGTTACTATCCATGTTTCGTTTAACTACTATATAAATAGTACTACTGATGGCTGAAATGCCAGAACATTAGTAGTAAGTAATAGTCATAATATGCCTACTAACGCTACTATTCTGGAGACTACTACCTGACCAGTTCATCAGCAGAGCAGTGAGAGAAGCCGCGTTGTCGACTCGGAGATTCTGACATCAATTCTCAAACTGCTGGATAATCTGGAGGACACGGCACGGCGCTCTTCTAACCCCTGCCGGCAACTTGGCGGCACATTAAAACACGGATTAAGTGCACCACTGACGAAGTCTTTCATTTCATCATCACTGTAGCATTAGCATTCTAACAGCTCACTTGAGGTCCTTCAAGAGCGCCTTACTCGAGACGTGCTCGCTTGCTGTCACTGATCGAGTTTTCATCGTAGCGTTCTGAGAGAAACTTCAGCTCCTCGATGAAACCAGCGAGCTTTTTTTGCTGCTCTGAAAACAACGCCTGTGTTTTGTGATGGTCACATTCGCACGCTGGCCTGTGCCGCTGGTCTCCCCATGTGGAATGAAGCAGTCACCTGCTTCTCACGATTCCATCTCGACGCGTAACTTCTCGCGCTCGCGATGCCATTGAACAGAATAACCCCGCTGGTGTTCATGGAAGCGTTTGGGCCTCGTAAAAATGCCTGCACTTGGGCGTTGCTGGGGAAGGATGCGCCTGGCATTTCCCACGTAAAAGGCTTATCCAGAAGCTGGAGCTGATTGTTCAGCCATTCGACTCTCCGACGGGCAATAGAGGCGAGGACAGCAAATCGGTGGTCGGATGGGTCAATATCACCGATATGATCAGTAAATGCCTTGATGACGGGTCGTAGCATGTCCGGGTTCGTCTCCACGAACTTGTCCGCGACTGTATCAAAGATGGTCGTATCGCCGCATTGAATCGTCCATTTCCAGAGGTGTTCAATGCCCCTAGAGTGGCGCAACACGTGATCATGAAGCTTGGAGGCCTTCTCCACTGCGCTAGACAGCAAGACTTGTTGAGCTTCGCCGGATAGAAGACAGTCGACAATTTGCAGTATTGCCACCATTCTTGAGTCGTTGATCGTTTGGATTTGAAGCCCCATGGTGTCATGGTCAGTAGCTCCGCCAAACACATTCAAAAGATCCTGACCGATGTCGCTCCAGCTAAACGTACGGGCAAGCGAAGCAAAGGAGGGGTTCAGACCATCCATGTAACCATCAAGGCGACGGACAAAGCTTGTGAAGAACATTTTGACCAGCTCAGGGTCTTCGGCTTCTACCAAGAGGTGACATAATGCCTTGCAAAATCCAGGTGAAACACGTCTCCGTGGGCCCTGATAACTCGGGCTTTGCTGTGCCAACAACTTCTCATTAACCGCATTCATAAACTTGCGGAGAGTGGCAGCGCTGACAGGCCAATGAGCTTGCAGAGATCCAATAGCAACGTCAATGCTGATATACTTGAAAGCATTGTCCACACCTTGATCCATTGGCCACGCAACTACCGCGTATCGCGAATACGTGGTTTCCCTCGTCGCTCCCTCATTACCAAGATATTCTTCAAATGTGCTGTTCCCATGTTTCGCCCAGAGCGCAGACAAGGTTTCTCGGCCCGGATTCAAGAAGTTAAGCTTCTGCTTCGTTTTCAAGGCACGAACGATACCCTTTCCGCTCTTAGTGTACCAAGTAATCGATTCATGGCGCTCGTTTTCGTCCCAACTTCCACCATCGTCATAGTAGCTGACTTCATGAGTCAGCTGGGCGATGAAAAACTGCAACTTCTTGGCAGGAACAGCAGCCCGACTTGCTTCTTCTAGCGTGTGAAACCTCGCGCGATCGATGCCTTTGAAGGCGCCGGATCCCATTATCGCGATACTTTTGCCAGTGTACTCGTGGTTCAGCAACAGCGCAAATACTGCGTCTTCCTGTTCAATCCCGTTCAGCACTCCACCCATTTCCTCGCCAAGCGTCTGATCACAATTCCTCATCAAGTGGCGCATATCGGGCGGTAAGCAAACCGAATAAATCAGCACCAATCGATAGCCTTTCGTCACCTCCTCCAGAGCGTGCTCCGCATCGGCATAGTGCACCGCATAGTGAGGCAAGTATGGTGCCGTGCCGTCACTCTTGCCAAAATCATGCCGCTGGCTCACCTCGCCTCGACGGTAGACCACCAAGTCCCGCCTTCGTGCGCACTTGGCACCTGAACGACCATCGTCGCCACCATTCCGTCCTCCTTCTCCGTATCCTGATGCTTCACAAAGTGTCCTCCTTCCCCGTACACCAGCAATTTGTACAGCTTGCACTGCAAGGGCACACCATTGTATCCAAGTCTGCCTGCAATGGTCTCGCCCAGCTTGTCGATACCCGTAGACCACAGTGGGTTCTTGATGTCCACCTGATCAGGACTCAGTTGCCAGCTCTTGCGGACACTTTCGTCCATCATCGTCTCCAGCTTCCTCCCAAACGGAGACTTGTCGCACTTGGCGATCAACTTGGTCGCGTGCTCCTCGGTCAAGGGGACGGGGATGAGCCCCACCCCATCGCCATGCAGTCCAGGGGCTACTGGGAGCGTTGACGCTTGTCCTCCGAAGGAATACTCCCCTGCGTTGTCGTCCGCCCGGGCCAGCATCTCACTGATCTTTTGGCAGGCAGCACCGGAAGGCGTGGGGACATCCCCGGGCTGCCCCTCGCCCCCAAACGGCCACTTGCCGCCACCGAAGACGTACTCTTCGCTGGGCTCGTTTCGGTCCACGCCGTCATATTCATCCTCGCGATCCCAGCCCCACGCCATGGTACAGTATCGTTGATACCGCGGGAATTGAAAATAATAAATAAGCAGTAAAATGCATTTCGTAAACAAAATGATCGATTGACGCATCATTTTTCGAAGGCAAACTTCAACGACAACGTCGCTCCTCAAGAAGGCCCCGGTGACGACGAGGCCTTCGGGGAGGGTGAGTGGCCGTTCGGTGGCCACGGCGAGCCGGACGACGTCGGGGCCTGCGTGCAAGAAAATCAGCGACATCTTGTCTCGGGCGGACGAGTACGCGGGCGAGTATTCCTTCGGCGGGCCCGCAGATGCCTTACCCCCAGTACCAGGCCTATTTATTGATGGGGTGGGGACGCTTTCAGTCCCTCTGAGCAATGCACAAGCCGAGGAGCTCGTTGCCCAGTGCGAGAAGTCCCCCTTTGGCCGACGACTCGACACCTTGATGGATGAAAGTGTGCGCAAGAGCTGGCAGCTTCCACCGGATCAAATTACGTTCCAGAATCCGCAATGGCAAGCGGGAGTTGAGGAGTTGAGTGAGATTATTGCCGGTCGATTCGGCTACAAGGGGGTTCCGATGCAGTGCAAGCTCTACAAGTTGCTGGTGTACGGTGAAGGAGGTCATTTCGTGAAGCACCAAGATACGGAGAAGGAGGACGGAATGGTGGCGACGTTGGTGGTACAGTTGCCCAGTTTCCATGAAGGGGGAAACTTGGTGGTGTATCGTGGTGGGGAGGTGAAGCATCGCCACGATTTTGCAAGTCGGATGGGATGGCGGCATTCGTTCCTTACTATGCAGTGCACTATGCCGACGCGGAGCATGCACTGGAGAAGGTGACGAAGGGGTTCAGACTGGCCTTGGTGTACTCGGTTTGTCTGCCTCCTGACATGCGTCACTTGATGAGGAGCAACGACCAATCCTTGAGCGACGATATGGCGGCATCATTGGTAGCATGGGGAATGAGAATGAGGATTCCTCGTTCGCGTTGATGCTCTCTCACGAGTACACGGAGCGAAGCATTGAAGGACTCGGTGCGCGCGGACTGAAGAGTGTTGATCGAGCGCGCTTTCGTGCGCTCCGGCAAGCGAACGCTGTTGCTGCCCAGGACAAGAAACTGGAGTTTGCCATCGGGAAGCTGGTTCACGATATCAGTTACATCGATGATGGCGGGTATTGGGACGAAAGGGAGCGTAACGATTCCATCACGTGGTGCTCTCCGACAAGGCCTTTACCGCGTTTTGACATCGGAGCTGAATTTTCTAAACCCCGACAAGAAAACGTATTCCGATTTCTGGGATGGACGCGGGAACAGCACGTTTGAGGGGTATCTTGGGAATGAAGGGGCTACGAGGGATACGACTTACTATCGCTATGCGATCATCGCATGGCCTGCCGCTCACTTGACTTCCAAGCATTCCGGTGGGGCTGCGGCTGGTCGTTCCAAAAAGCGAGCAAGACTGGGGTTGTACTGAATGCCTGGGTTGGGATTCGGAAAAGATTGTTCGCGCCGTTCCACATCGTGCGTAGCATAACGCTTCACATGTATCTCTGCGTTAATACCATGCAGAGAGGATTGGCTTGTCATTCGCAGGCATGTCCGGAGGGGGCATTTTGCAAATCATGCCCCTTTTTAGATATACGGGGTACTCCTGGGGACTTTAAAAGGGGTAGCCCGATCAGTAATGTATCGCTGTCTATTGGCAGCTAGAAAGGGGCGCTACAAGAATGTATAAGAATGTGAACGTGGTGGCCTACGCTAGAGTGTGGCTTGGAGAGGAACGCACACTAGGCAGCTGCTTGGTACCTGGACATCTTGTCCGCCAAACTCATGAGCTCAAAGTATTGTCGACATTGCAACTCACCTTCCATCGCGTAGTTGCAGAGTCGGCCGCGATGCGGACCCATCGTACGCTCCAGCGTGCTGAAGTCCCCCTCCACTATGTGTGTACCTGGTGCAGTGCTAGCGAGTCCAACAGCAAACTCGACCAGCAGTTCAGAGTTGCCGAACGAGGCCGCCTTCTCCCAGACAACCTTGAGTGTCACTTCACGCGACGGGTTTCGTGGGCTTTCAAGCCGACGGCAACATTCAGACTTCTTGTTAAAGCAGTGCGCCAGTTGCTTCCTTTGGTTCCAGATATCGGTTGTTGCCGTAGCACCGAATCGAGCCTTCAATTTGGGGCTGTGAGCTGCCAGCAGTGCCCGGAAGGCGCGATCCGTGCACTGTATTATCTCGATAGGAGAAGTAGGAGGTTCCTCGCGGCAATCGCTGTTGATGTCGAGCTTGATACATGACACGGTTTCGATGAAAACGGTGATGGCCTCAGCTACCGCTCCAACAAGTTCAGTCTGAGTCATAGGGTCTTGGGGTGGGGCGGGACTCGACGTCGTTTTGATCAGGTTGCTCGTCGGGGGATGCGTCGTCCAGTTCGGTACCATCCGTCGCAGTGTGGGTCTGGTCTTCTGGGGCATTCTCGTCTCTCTGCACTCCGACGTCCATGCTGCTAAATAGCGCCAACGAATTGTACGAGCACCACTTGAGGTGGTTGGCCACGTTGGTCTTGTCCACATTCACTGAACCGTCTTCGGTGTTGCTCTCGTACTTCAACTGGAACGTGTTCACGAGCTCATCCAGAGCGGTGAACTGCTCGTTCATAGTGACAGTCTTAACTTGCAGCATGCGAAAACACATTCGTATGGCCTCCGTCAGCTCGCTCACAACAAATAGACACAGCCACCCTGCGCTGCTCGACCGCGCGTAGTTCTTCGCGTCTTGTGCAGCAACGAGTTGTTCGTAGTGCTTGGCCAGGAAATGACACGTGTCATGAATCGACTCCCATCTAGTCGTTGCATACTTTGGGCGTAAACCCACTGCGAAGCGTACACTTTCGTATCTCCGTGTAAACGAGATCTCCATTCCCAGCCTCGACCTGAAGTTCATCGTTCTGTCGAGTACTTTTAGGAACGCGTCTACGGCAAGGTTCAACTGGTGGCTCCCGCACCAATTGATCTTGATGGCCGAGTTTCCAAAGTATTCAGCAGCAGCACGAAGTCGCGTCGAGAATCCCTGGTGGCGGCCTAGCATCGTCGCAGCTCCGTCCGTCGAGATACCGATCAGTTGAGGGAGCAGGTTGGTTTCACCGATGTCCTCTAGTAGATCAATGACAAGCTCAGCATAGTTCTCGCCTGTGTGGGCGCTATCGCCAAAGGGGATGGCGAGGAGGTGGATGTTGTGAATTTTACCCACGAGGCCAAACGACACACGCACGTCCAGGTATCCTTCTTTGTTGTGCGTTGCGCCATCAACCATTAGCGAAAATCCCCAGGTCTTGCTGAGCAGTGAGCGGATAGCAGAGAGATTGAGTGCAACGACACGGCTAACCGATAGCCCTACTACTTGTCTGCAGGGGGATCCAAGCTTCATGTTGGACAGCGCGGTTCCGAACGTGGTTAACAGACCAGCAATAGCACGAAAGCTTACTCCCGCGTTGGTGCAGCTGACAATGGTCTCAAACTGGTCTCGATCACGGATAACTTGAACGTATCCATCCGTCTCGGTCTCCATAAAGTCGTTGGAGACTTCAACCTCTCCGATTTCGTCGTCCACGGCCACCAAGCCGTGTGGCGTATCACCTCGGTTGCAGAACAGACGCTCGATGAGGCTGGCAATTCCGCTCGGAACCACAAACGAAATCTGAGGGTGTCTCGGGAGGAAGTCCTCGATCCGGGTACGCAGGAAAAAGCTTTCGCGCTCTTCGTCCTCCGTGACAGCAAGGAAGGCAGACCACTGCTTCGAGTGCTCGCGCTGCATGTGTCGGATGATATGGTCGCGGCGAAACTTCTTGAACACCATAGCTTTAGCCATCTTCTTGCGCTTCTTTTTCGCGCTCCTCACCAACACATCGAACGCGGAATCGGCATGCATCGTCCGGCGGATCTTCCCGTCCAAACACCTCGCAGAATTTGCAGATCGCCTCGGCGACGTCGCCTTCCACGTAGTTGAACGGACGAACGCAGAGCTCCTTCTCATACTTTGGAAGCTATTGCTGTCGCGTTGGCAGCTTCACCTTGGTTGGCAATGCTGTTAGTGCGTCGTTAACACTGCGCAGCTTTCGAGTCGCTGAGTTGAACCTGTATTCGGCTTATAGCGACCCTTCCCACGGCCTTTGGAGGTTCCGCGAGCTTTGGATGATGAAGTGGGTGACATGGGCGTTGGTGGGTTGGCCGTTGTCTGGCAAGTTTAGAAATGATTGACAAGTTCGGCGCTTGACGCTCAAGTGAGCAACTAGCCACCAATGGAGTCTTCAACTTGAGTTTAGGCGGTACGATCCCGACTTACATCTACATATGAGCGATACTACTGGGTTCGACACCACTTGCGACGTGCTAAGAGTGTTATTAGCCATGTGTTTAGCCTATTCCTCGTTGCATACATGGATAACCTTCTGCAGATGCTGGAGACCGCAGTGCAAGTTGGCTTCCACGCCTGCATTTCTTTAGTAAAGATGTAACGGGGTTACACGCACAAGTGGCTACAGTCACTTGTAACTCTAACAGACACGACGTCTGTTAGAGGTTCGAAAGACTTTATCGTCCTTGGTGTAGACACACCAAAGGCTACATACATTTAGGATCACCACGACGGGTGGTCCATAGAGACTTAGGATTCCTATTGGTTGAGAGCAGCGTCTCTTAGCCAATGAGTGACATGCATAGCATTGGAATTCTGCCCTCCAGCCGTTGGCAGATTCCTAGTTTAGAATATTACATTTAGAGGAAGTCAGAAACATAAAACACAAATAGCAGTTCTCATCTTTTACCAAAACACGCTACTTGGAGTCTTTAACTTGTTTAAAGTATACTCGTGGATCTCGAGTATACTTAACTCAAGTAAAAGAAACCTACGCTTCCTCATACACGTGCGCATACGTGTAAGCCGTAGTAGTGAGCCAAGGTAGGCCCATTACACCTGGTAGCACTTTGTAGTCCGTCCAACGACCGACTACCTGAGTTCGTACGTCACCGCACGAACGCGGAGCTGAGAACCTTCCCATGGATACGGAGGTGTCCATGGAAAGCTCCACTACGCCTGCAACTCATGTTGCACGCGCTAACTGCCTCCACCTGTCGGACCCAGAGTGGGAAGCTCTCCAACGACTGCCAACAGTCATTGGTGAGGCGGCTGTAGCTACGATGCTGCGTACGCTAACGCCGACAGAGCAACATGGTGTTGCTCTGGGATTCATCATGAGGGAGCAGCGAGATGCTGCTTCGTCTACCACAGTGTCGTCGGGGACGACACCGCGCGCGCAATCGCTGAAGCTCAGCGTGAGCAATTACGTTGGAAGAGAGGGCGAGCCTCTCCTCCGTTGGCTTGTCGAACTCGACACTGCCATTGCGGCTCGACGCATCGTCGACCCCTTGTCGAAGGTCGCGTTCACCATGTCATGTCTTGGCGGACGTGCAAGAAGTTGGGCGTATGGACGCCGACTCTCGGATCCTACGTGCTATAGCACGTACGAGGGTTTCAAGGAAGAGCTCAGACAAGCGTTTGAGCCACCGCAAAATGAGTTTCGGTCGAGGGCAGAGTTCTTCGACCTACAGCAGGGTAAGCATGATGTCCATGCTTACGCACAGAGAGCACAGTACTTGGTCTCGAACATCGTGACCAATCCGATCGACGAGGCGACCAAGGTCGTCACGTTCATGAAAGGGCTGAGAGATGGGCCTGTGAAGTCCTATCTCTTCCGTGAGTACCCGAGTCCTCTCGAAGCTGCAATTACTCTTGCAATGCAGGAGGAGTTTAGCCTGCGGCAGGCTAAGCTGCATGCACATGTGCCGAGGCCACAGCCACGCCCGGTAGTGAGGACGGGAGGTCCAGAACCCATGGACCTCTCGAGTGCTGCAACTGCTGGACCCCAGCAGTCGCAAGGAAACAATGTGCGATGCTACCGATGCGGTAGAATCGGTCACTTTGCTCGGGAGTGCACCGCCCCCGTGCACCAGCAGGGTGGCTATCGCGGCGGTGCTGGGCACCGTCGCAACCAAACAAAAAACGCTGGACGCCAGTAGGCGCGGGGCGCCTTACTGGTAATGCAGTTCCGCGTGCCGACCTCGGACACGCGACACTGAGGACTGCAGCCCCCAGTGAGGTTCATTCTCACTGCAAGAATCACGATGACAAGCCTGACCTTGTCATCCTGAATGTGAACTCGACGAGAGCAAGCGGCTCTCTCCGTGCTTTGGTAGATTCTGGCGCGTCGAAGAACTTTGTTCGACTGCGAAGTCTATCAAGGCTTGACTTCGAGGATTTAAAGATACCTCGAAGTATGTTGGAAGTACGACTGGCAACGGGTGCCGTCGTGAAGACCGAGAAGCGCATGGTACGCGTGCGCTTCACGTATGAAGATCAAGAGTTTGTCGAGACCTTTATCGTCCTGGATCTGGACGATAAGTTTGACATTTTATTGGGCATGCCGTGGCTTGCACGACATGATCCGGTGATCGATTGGGAGAAGCGCACTCTCGTGCGCTTCGGTCGCGACAGCGGAACAGTGAGCGATGGCCCTGTTGCCGCTACGCACGCACCGACAGGTGCGTGCGACTCCCCACTCGAGACAGCGCCTAATGCCGCTGTCCCGGAGCGCCCTGGGCGCGCGCGAGCACAGGCGCAAGAGCAGCAAGCGTCGGCGTCGCCGCCGACGGCTAAAGGAGAAAATGTGATGATCTCGGAGATCGACAACCGCTTTTCAGCGAATCAGGAAGAATCTCCGACCTCAAGGGGTACGGATGACGCAGGCGAGTCACACGCCTCAGCCGTGGAGGCTGACGCGAATCTGATTGGATCAGGTCTGGCCAATAATAAGAGCCAAGGTGACGTAACGCCGTCGACTCCGGGAGTCGATAGCTTGGACGAATTTGATTCGTCGGCTCGGGGAGCCGACGCACCCTCCGTAATGGAGGGCTCCGCCAATAACAGGCGTCGAGGTGAAGATGGCGTGTCGGCTCCGGGAGCCGACGCTGCAGGCGGTGCGGACGGTTGCAAACGTCCCGCACCGGAAAAACTTGCATGCTGTCGTGCAGCCCGGCAGCACGACAAAGCGCCGGGCTTGAAGTCGCTCGCCCGCGGGATGAACCCGCCGGCGGAATACAAGAAGAACCCCCGTCCACGGCTGGGCCTGGACGAGGTCAAGAACCAAGCGGAGCCGTGCTCCGCAAAACAAGAAGACGGCGCATGCGAAGGTCGCTGCGCAAGTCTCGGCCTGGGGCCGAGACGCTACAAGGAATGTCTGCCGGGCAGACGGAGGCTGAGAAGCCGGACGTCGAGACGTTGAACGTCTTGACGCGTACCTGTGCCGGGTTCCGGTACAGGGAGATGACTCTCGCTAACCCTCCGACGCAAGCGTCGGAGTTGACTTCGCTTCCAGTCATGAGCTGGAAGCGCTTCGCGCGTGACTTGCACGATGGACGCATCGAGCAAATATGCATTCTCTCGGATGCCGAGAGAACGAACAGAGAGAATGAAGAACTGAGGCAGTTCTTCATGGAGATCACCACTGAGAGCGAGGACACTCTCAGTGCGAAGACGAAGAAGGAGCGCTTTGAAGAGCAGAGCTGGGACTCGTTGAAAACGAGTCCCTACTACGAGATCTTACGGGAGTACGCGGACGTACTTCCGGAAGAGATTCCTGCGGAGCTTCCGCAGGATAAGGGCGTCCAGCACGAGATTGATCTCGTGCCGGGGACGAAGTACTGTGTCACGCGGCAGTGGCCACTGCCGCGAGAGCAGGTCAAGGCGATCGACGACTTCTTTGAGAGTCGTCGCAAAGCTGGACAAGTGCGGGAATCGAAACCCCCGCACAGTGCCCCGAAGTTCTGTGTCAAAACGCCACACGGCGACTGGCGCATCGTTTATGCGTACAACAAGCTGAACGATGCGACGATACCGACGCAAACACCGATACCGCGAAAAGATGCCATCATCGATTCGATGGCCAGGAGCACTATCTACAGTGCTCTCCATCTGCGCGATGAATTCTATCAACTCCTCATGCGTGAGAGCGATATCCCTCTCACGGCTGTGAGCACACCAAGCGGCATGCTCTGGTAGTTGCTAGTGATGCAACAGGGTCTGAAGAACGCCCCTGCAACCTTCAACAGGTGCGTGACTTCGCACCGAGCTACTTCGACGATGTGTTCGTCCACAGCGGGGCTGCGGACGGGATGAGCGATGTTGAGATGCACAAGGTGCATCTCCGGAAGCTGCTTGCGCTCATGCGCAAGCACAAGCTCTATGCGAACCTGAAGAAGTGTATCCTCGGGGCGAGCGAGATACCCGTGCTCGGGCGTCTGGTTGGGAAGAACGGTGTCCGCCCTGACCCTGAGAAGGTCAGAGTGATCAATGAGTGGCCGACGCCGTCGAACGTCAAGGAACTGCGGCAGTTCCTTGGCTTGGCCACGTACTTGTGCAAGTACGTGAAGGACTACGCGGGCATGATACGCCCGCTGTCACAGCTCGTGAAGAAGGACGCCGAGTGGATTTGGACTGCTGAGAGTCAGCAGGCCTTCGATGCAGTCAAGCAGGGCGTGACTGAGGCGCCGATCTTGGCGGTGGCCGACCAAGATCGCCCGTTCCACGTTGTGTGTGACGCATCCGATTTCGCAATCGGATGTGCGTTGATGCAGCACGATCACGAGGGCCGTGATCGTGTCGTCTACTACCAATCGCGCCAGCTGAAGCCAGCTGAGCGCATCTACCCGGTACACGACAAGGAGCTCCTTGCCATGAAGTACGCACTCGCGAAGTTCCGAGTGTATCTACTCGGAAGCAAACCGTTCGTGGTCTACACAGACCACGCGTCGCTGCGGACGGCTGTGAAGTCGCCGCACATCTCGCAACGGATGGCGAGATGGCTCTCATTCTTCGCAGAGTATAACTTTCGGGTTGAGTACAAACCCGGAAGACTCAATGTGGTGGCCGACGCGCTCTCGCGTCGACCTGACTACGCCACGACTGATGCCGACGTCAATGCCATTGACGCCATGCGATCGAGCACCCCGACGTCGTCACTGTTGGACGACGTGAAGGTCGCGTACGCGCACGACGCGGACGCGTAGCTCTTGCTGGCCTACGGCTCAGCGCCTTCGGACAAAGCCCGTCAGAAGCTACCGAAGCATCTTCGTGCTCGTGCACACCGTTATCGGGTGCACGACGGGTTATTACTCTACAGTGCAGTCAATGACCATGACCTGCGACTCAGGATCATGTACGAGTATCACGATGCACCGACTGCGGGGCATCCGGGCCGTGAGAAGACATACCTTCTTCTCACGCGAGACTTCTACTGGGCCCACCAGTACAAATGGGTGCGCAAGTACGTCCGTGCTTGCGAGGTTTGTCAACGTGTGAAGCCTGCGCCTTTCGTGCAGGCTCCCTTGCAGTCACTACCAACTCCACGAGAGTGTTGGCAGTCCATGTCTTTGGATTTCGTGTTCGGTCTTTCCCCGGACAGTCAGGTGAACACGGGCGTTGTGGTCTTTGTTGACCGCTTCAGCAAGATGGTACATCTTGCTGCGGTACCCGCTGAAGTGACTGCGAAGCAGACTGCACGTCTGTTCGTCGACATGGTGTTTAAACACCATGGCATGCCGATCGACATTGTGTCGGATCGAGACCCGCGCTTCACTGCGCACCTTTGGCAAGAAGTGTTTACACTTCTTCGGAGTCAACTTTCGATGTCGACTGCGGACCATCCGCAGATGAACGGTCAGACCGAGCGCGTGAACCGCGTGCTCGTAGACGTGCTTAAGAGCTACGCTCACTCGTTCCAACACTGGAGCGAGTGCCTGCCGATGGCGGAGTTCGCCATCAACAACTCGGTGCATGCCTCGACCGGGCATACACCCTTCTACGTGAATACCATGAGGCACCCACGCCTCCCGAGTCTACTCGGGATGGTGGCTCCTTCCTTAAGTGGGGGAGGATCTTCGACTGCACCGCAGCAGCCGCAGAATGCCGCTGACACTTGCACAGTGTCAGCCGCAACGACACGAAATAAGCCAAGAGCCGCGCGTCTGTGCAGGGCACAGACGCCGACAAGAAGAAGAACGGGTCTGTGCAGGGCACAGACACCGCGAAGACGAACGCAGAGGCCGGGCCTACTGCTGGAAACGAGCTGAACGAGTTCAGCTCGGACGCAATCAACTTCGTGCAGCGCAGACAAGCCGTCATTCGGTTTGTTCAAGACGCTATTGCAGCTTCTGTCGACCGACAGAAGCTGAACGCAGACAATGTTGGCAGGGGCAACACTAATGAATTCGAGAAGGGTTCATCAGTCTTGTTAGCTACTCAAAATCTGCCTAAACATGCAGTTTCCGACTTCGGGGCGAGCAAGCTCGCTCCGCGCTTAATCGGACCGTTCACTGTGCTGGCACGGCACGGCAACGCCTACACACTGGACATAACGTCTAGTATGCGCCTCCATCCGACGTTCTACGTCGGACGGCTGAAGCCATACCTGCAGCACGAGCTACCTAGCTCGGCTGAACCGAAGCAGAAGACTCGGCGGAAGCCATCATCCTCTCCAGCGCGACTTCGCGCTGGAGCAGCGTGTCGAGCTAATGGTCCAGCTCGGCCGGAACGATCGAGGCGGCCTGGGAGGCCGCCGCAAACTGCGAATACTTCAGAGCGCCGAACGCAGCGCTCTGGAACTACTCCACGACCGGGACTTGGTCGTGGAGAGACACGAGATCAGGGTCAACACCAAGTTGACCACACACGGGGTGTGTTTCCGCCACCGCCGCCGCCAATTCGTGATGCACACGGCTCAACTTGATGGATTGTTGAGCGGATTGTTGATCACAGTATCCCGAGAACGAACAGGCAACCAGTTCGTTTTCGTATCCGTTGGAGAGGATTCCCTCCCAACCAAGATACATGGGAGCCGCGGAACGTTTTGCTCGAAGACGTCCCGGACATGGTGAGGGCGTACGAAGCCCACCATGCGCTGCACACTGGAACGTAATGCGAGCGCTACTGTTAACAGCAGCGCCCGAAGACAGACATAGGTACCTGCCCCCGCGGCAGCGACGCGCTTCGCACGTTGCCGCGCATGCTACTCAGCAGCAGAGAGGTTCTCCGCTGCTGCGCCAGCGGTCTTCAACTTCGACGCGCTCGTAATGGAACGAGCGCGCTCTCTTCAACGTCACGCATTGACCAAGCGGTCAATGGTAGTTGACGTGCCGGGACCGGCACGTCTAACCTTGACGGGGGGATGGTGTAACGGGGTTACACGCACAAGTGGCTACAATCGTTGCCTACGTTGCCGACTTAGCCAGCATCCCACCAGTTCCTGTATTATCGCGAGAGGTGGACAGGGTTCAATGGGTATCTGCAATGAAAAACATGGCAAGTCAGTGCGAAACAGTGTTAGTCAATGGCTTTACGAAAGCTGCTGATGCAAAAGAAGGAACACAGCGCAAGCGCCGTCGCTCTGGAAAACTTACCGGTATAGTCAAAGCCTGGGGTGAGCTAACTGATCAGCAGCGGGCGGCGTTTCGCGCACTACCGGGTATCCAGTTCTTAGCAGCATGAGTGAGATAGTTGGAGGCCTCTTGGTCAAGTTGGGATTACACAATGCATATGTAATTTGAATACACGTCATGCCACCTTCGATGCACCAGCGCACCACCAGCTTCAACGACATGAGCACCGCATCGGAGTGCACCACGAGCTCCGAAAACAACGCTGCATCCGCGAGCACCACAGACTAATTCCGAGAGCAGCACGAGCTCGGAGTGCCCCACGAGGTCTGACAGCAGCACGATCTCCAGGAGCAGTACGAGCTCCAAGTGCGCCATGAGCGGGGAGAGCAGCACGAGCTCCAAGTGCGCCATGAGCTGGGAGGGCAGCACGAGCTCCGAGTGCGACATGAGCTACACGAGCACCACTGAGGCCACGAGCACCACAAGCTCCAAGAACATCGCACGCCCCGTGAGCACCGACGAGTTCGCGAGCACCACAGAGTCCCCGAGCACCAACGAGTCCACGAGCACCTCCGAGATCACACCCACAACCATCTACATGAGCCCCTCCAGCTCTGTGTACACCACGAGCGAGCTTCGAGATCACCACGTGCACCGCTGAGTAACGTCCGCGAGCGCCACCGAGTCCAAGAGCGTCACTAACTGCACGAGCACCACCACGTCCGCGAGCCCCGCAAAAACTCCAGCTCCGAACGCATCACCAGCTATATAAGCACCACCAGCGAGTCTGCGAGCACCAACAAGAACATGAGCGCCACGAGTCCACGAGCACACCAACTATAAAGCCACCCACCATCTCCTCAAGCGCCACCGAGTCTGCGAACACCACCGAGCCCACGAGTGTCCCCACTGTGTGAGCCGCCTCCTCTTCCTTGCTGTGGTCAGTCCCTTCCTATTTTCTTTTTCAGCCAATCCCAGCTTCGGGACGAAGTTACTGGGGGTACGAATATCCAACTATAGTTTATCCAAGTGTACACGAGCCGCCAAATGTAACCACTATTTTCGGCCGAGTTTTGATGTTGTGCAGGGGCCGAAGTTAAGACGAAGATAGGCGATACAGAGGGGAGGTATTGACGTTTGGCGGTCTCTTCCCCGCTCCCCATTTGGAATCTAGAGGCTTCACACTTAGATCCCCCCCAGAGCCTGCTCGGGCCCTTGCTTGGCCGAACTGGTGCCTTTGCCGACGCGCGTAGGACCTACGACGCGCGACCTGCACTCGTCGTTGGCAGCGAGCTCCTCGACGCAACTGGCAGTGCCCCTCAACGACTGCAACTACCATGTGAACTTGCTGCTGCTGGTGTGCAAGGCGCGACCTTCTCGGCGCCTGAACAACTGACCGTCTGTCCTCGACTCTGACGTGTCCAACCTCCAGACTCCATTACCGTAGACCCTCGTGCGTACTGCTCCAAAGCCGTGGTGTGTCCCGCAAACACCTGTGAACATCAGCAAGGAGGGCACAATGGCTCCGCCGAAACACAAAATTTGGGCTTTGTTTCGTGAGCAAGCACCCAGAATTAAGGGTGTAAAACCCCATCCTGATGCCATGTGCTTGGCTTGCGAAATGGTGCTGCCGAACGCGCAGCCGTCGCGAAACCTGCTGCAGCATACGATCAAGTGCGACAAGATCGGCGAGGAGACGAAGGAATGGTGGCGGCGCCACGAAGCGGACCTCCGACACAAGCAAGCGGCGAAGCTGACAACCCCTTCGAAGCCTCGGGGCCCAAGAACGCCAACATTGACGAAGCGACTTTTTGGTACGAATTCACCACGGAGTAGCGGCTCATCTCGCCCGCGCAAGACCCCGCGGCCATCACCATCGTCACAACCCACACCAAAGAAGTCGGCCCAAGAAATCAAAGAAGAGAATTATTTGCGGGTTGCAATTGGGCTTATTTCGACTGGGATCCCTGGAGGAGCCTCTTTTCCAAGCTATGTTTGACTATGAATTGCCTTCTCGACGTCAAATTTCGGGGTGTTTGCTGGACGTCCTTTACGACCGCGAGAAGACTCAGTTGATTTTGAGAATAACGGAGAGTGACGTGACGAACTTGGCCCTCATTACGGATGGGTCGTCCAACACAAATGGGGATAGCATTATCAACTTTGTTTTTGTGAACCCTCGGACCCCACCTTTATTTTGGAAGTCGATCAACTCAAAAGCTGAAGCTCATACGGCAGAGTATATCGCTGGTACAATTTGGTCAACCATTTTGGAGTTCGAGTCTGTAATTGGTTCAGGCAAAGTCACTTCGGTAGTGACGGACAACGCTGCCAACATGAAGAAGGCGTGGCGACTCGTAAGAAAACAGCGCGTCGGACTTGTATGTACGGGCTATACTACGCACGGCATGAATCTTCTGATGAAAGATATTTTCAATCTGGATTTTTTCAAGGATGTGCTTGACCGTGCAAAACAACTGGTTCGGTTTTTCAAGGATCATCGGGGCTTGTGGTCAAGATTTCGCGATCTGCAAAAAGCTCTTCGAAAGAAAGGAGAAAAACGGCGGCGCCTCTCGCTACCAGTGCCAACGCGGTGGTATACGCATGAAAAATGCGTCGCGAACGTCTTTCACAACAAAGACATCATTGCAGCTATTTTCTCGGACACGGCGCTGCTTAAGAACTACAAGGGAGCATCACTAGACGAGGCACTCGTTATTTTTCGCGATGACGATTTCTGGCAAAAAACTGCCGTTGTGTTGAAGCTCATCCAGCCAGTCAACAAGTGCCTCGCTGCGTTTGAGCGCGACGCCTGCAGCTTGTCGTTGGTGTATCACCAGTTTAGTTGGCTATGCAAACATCCAGTCTACACCGAGCCCCTTGATGATTGTAGCGTGTTGCTACAAGCGGAGGTGCTCGGGCTGATAAATGCCCGACGAGGAAAAATATGCACGCCGACGGTGAAAATTGCATACCTGCTTGACCAGACCAAGACCATGTACGATCCGAACGATCTGGAGGTCAAGGCACTGATTAACGATGCCGCGCAACTTGCCCAGGACTTGCAATTGGTACCGACAGAGTTGGCGGAAAAATTTCACAAGCAGCTGCAAGACTTTGTCCTCATGAAGTCTGCGTGGACAGGTAAATCGCGTGAAGATAACAACGCCTACAGCCCGATCGCATGGTGGTCGCTAGAAACCTCGAACACCTACGCGTTGGTGCAGGAGTTCGCAAAGTTGCTGTTGTATATCCCAACGTCGTCGGCGTCCAGCGAGCGTAGTTGGAGTATCCACGGATTTATCCACACGAAGCTGCGAAATCGCCTCACGCCTGAGCGTGTGAACAAGCTTGTGTTCGTTTATACGAATATTGCGCGAAAATCCGAAGTGAACCATATCCTATACCAGCTCTATCCAGATGCATACGACGACAGCGACATCAGCGATGAGAGCGAAGACGAAGAAGATGAAAATGTCGCTAGCAACCACCACCGGGCGGCGGTAACTGCTATTACCTCTGAATGCGAAGAAAAGGAAGCGGGTGAAGTCGTGCAAGAAGCTGCAGCGCCAGCTCAGAATATGTTTCGAACCCCTCCAGCTTCTCAAGTACGCAGAGCGGTAACATGGGAAACAAGATAATATATGTTCGATATTGCTCTTTAATAACAGATTTTTTACTATTGTTGTTCATGCCATCCTTCGTCCTCTTCGCAAACGAGAGCCTACTCGGACGAGCACACCACGATTGGCTCGGCCATCCTCGTGAACGGCCTGCTCCAGCCGAGCTTCGTCTCGGGCTTCCTGTCGTACATGTCCGGCCCGTTCTTCGTCTATAGAGACTCGTCATTGCTGGAGGACGTGAAGATAGCCAAAAGCGACGGCACGGCCCACACCATATACGACTCGGACGGCAACCTGGTCTTTAGCTACTTCAACGCGTACGATATGTTCGTGGACCTCGCGTCGGGCACGGGCCGGACCATGAGCGCGCGCAAGCGGTTGCAGATCTCGTACGCGCTGTCCGCCTCAACCACTGCGAACTACGCCTCCATGAGCGATCTCATGCGGCCGCCACTGCCAACGGATGTGGTGCTGCCGACCTACTGGGTGCAGGCGGCGGTCGAGGCCAAGCTCAGTTGCGCCGGACACGGTCACGAGCGCTCTCACGCTCCCCAAGACGTTCCTGCCGGGCCTCATCGTGTTCATCATCGTCGGCGTGCTCGAAAGGGGCGGCGGCGTCTTCCTCTAAGATCGCCACAAACTCAAGGTGGAGGCTAGCGCTACATTAGCGTCATCTAGAGGACACGAAGTCATATACTCAATACCTAATTATATAGCCCCCGTAATGTTAAAATGCGGACAGTACATTGCACCTTCATCGCGTCCATTTCTGCATATGGGGTCTTGAATTCACCCATTCTCTTTCTTGGTCACCCTCCTTCTTCTTGCTGTATCCCTCGATCTTGGACTGGGTGGGCGTGCGTGAAGACCCACGAGCTGTTCATGGTGAACTTGAATTCCTTGGCACTCCCGCCGCCCTACTGTCGCTGCTACTTCTTCGCCTTCTGCGGCTGCTGCTGCCAGTTGCTTGGCCCGGCGTACTTGAGCAACGCTACCTGCTTGGCGTTCGACGCGATGGATATCACCGGGCCGTTAATCTCCTCCTGCACATGCTGTCTGGGTGCCTTCTTCTGGACGATAGAGCTGAGAGGCCGAGCAGTGGGCCGCGGCCGCTCGAAACACCCCCCCCGGTGCGCTAGACGGCGAAATTAATCTGTAAGGCGAAAAGACTCGGGAATTGGTCCATGACGTAGATAAATGTGAAAATCGGAAGAGCACGGTTATTAACTGTTAATAACCGTGCTCTGCCAACACCAGGTGGATGGGATGTTGACTGGACCACCCCGCAATCCGTGATCCTCCAAGTGTCGGGTTACGGATGGAAGCTCCATCCCCGAAAAGAACTCAAGATGTTGTACCGTTGTTCTTGCCCTACATACAAACCCCGGAAATCTGCACTCATTATAGCGCATGCCCATAGCTCATAAACTTCAGTACGGAACTATGATACCGTTCATTCGGAATGAGTCGTGTAGACTTCGTACATATATTACAGTAATACAAATACAGTTTATTAATGCTTACCGTAGTAACTCGTAAGATGTTGGCTGTGGACATCGAACTTCGATTCGAAGTACTGTACAGTACACTTGTACACCTAGTCCGATCCACCTTCTACACCCGTGAATCGCGTGGTTTGTCGTCATCCCAAAATGGCGTCTGATTTGCTTTTTCCTGGCGTTGCCTCCAGGAAACGGGGGTGGCTCATTCCGAAGGTCCATGCCCAATCTCGTTTTCGATCCCAAAATCCCAGCGTATGCTTCCGGTTTAACTGATGGTTCAAGGAGACCCATATAATGTGTCATACAAAGCTTTGACAGCGCAACCGAACAACGTGCACGTGGTGTACGCGCGCCATGCGAACAGCAGAACACCCTAGGGATAAAACGTCTCAGAAAAAGTCTCCTCGGAAGAGATCTCGCTCGGCTTTCCAAAAGAATATATCTCACAATCCGATTCACCGTCGAGGCCGCAAAGCAAATCACACTCGAACGATGAACGTCCGTCTCGCCGCCTTTGTCGCTGCAATTGCCACCTTGGCCAGCGGAGCTTCTGCCGCCAGCTGCCCGTTCGGCTACGACAAGATCGCGTCTGTGAAGCAGCAGGACCGTCAGATTTCCACCGAGCTGTACGACGCCAAGAGCTGCGATGTGATCGACTACGAGCTGGTCAAGAAGGACCTGGAGGTCTTGATGACCAACTCGCAGGACTTCTGGCCGGCCGACTTCGGCCACTACGGCGGTCTCTTCATCCGTCTCGCGTGGCACTGCAATGGTTCTTACCGTCGCGCTGACGGCCGTGGTGGTTGTGACGGCGGCCGCATTCGTTTCAACCCGGAGCACAGCTGGGCCGACAACACCAACCTGGACAAGGCTCTGAAGCTGCTGGACCCTATCAAGAAGAAGTACGGCGACGCTCTGTCATGGGGTGACCTTATCGTGCTGTCGGGCAACGTGGCCATCAAGAGCATGGGTGGCCCTGTGCTCGGCTTCTGCGGTGGCCGCCGCGATGACGTCGACGGCACGAGCAGCCTGCAGCTTGGCCCGACGCCCGAGCAAGAGGCTGTGGCCCCGTGCGCCGTCGACGGCGACTGCAAGGAGCCCCTGGGCCCTACCACGATGGGTCTCATCTACGTGAACCCCGAGGGCCCCATGGGCAAGCCCGACCCTGCTGGATCGGCTCCTCAGGTGCGCGACACGTTCAAGCGCATGGGCATGGACGACCGCGAGACGGTGGCTCTTGTTGGCGGCGGCCACGCCTTCGGTAAGACGCACGGCGCCTGTAAGACTGGCGCCGGTCCTTCGCCGCTGGAGGACCCGGAGAACCCGTGGCCCGGAACCTGTGGCGAGGGCCCGATGAAGGGCAAGGGCAACAACACGTTCACGAGCGGCTTCGAGGGCCAGTGGACGTTCACGCCTACGAAGTGGGGCAACGGCTACTTCAAGGGCCTCACGACCCGCGAGTGGGAGAAGTACGAGGGCCCTGGTGGCCACATTCAGTGGCGTCCCGTGCCGGACACGACGCCACCCGTGCGTATGCTGACGGCTGACATTGCCCTGCTGCACGACCCCAGCTACAAGGCAATCTCGGAGGAGTTCGCGGCGAACCAGACCGCTCTGGACGAGGCTTTCTCGCACGCCTGGTACAAGCTCACGTCGCGTGACATGGGCCCCGTGGCTCGCTGCCGCGGCAAGGACGTGCCGCCTGCGCAGCCGTTCCAGAACCCGCTGCCGCCGACGCCCGCCAAGCTGCCGGTCTTCAAGGCCGTGCGCAAGGACATCAGCGCGCTGCTCAAGAAGAAGGTGAACGGCCTGACGAGCGACTCGACGGGCAAGGGCGCGGCCTACAACGGCGCGCTCTTCGTGCACGCGGCCTGGCAGTGCGCGTCGACGTTCCGCATCACGGACTACGCCGGCGGCTGCAACGGCGCCAAGATCCGCTTCGCGCCCGAGAAGGACTGGCCCGTGAACAAGGGCGTGGACCAGATCATTGCCGCGCTCGAGCCCATCAAGCAGAAGTACCCGACGCTGTCGACCGCCGATCTCATCGTGCTGGCCGGCCAGGTGGCTCTTGAGGACGCCGGCAGCTCCAAGATCGACTTCCTGGGTGGCCGCACTGACGCCACCAACGGCGACGGCTCGGACATCCTGGCCCCGCGCGAGTACTACAACTCGACGGTGACCGCCGTGCGCGACAACATCAAGATCCTCGGTGTGTCGCCTGAGGAGGCCGTGGCCCTGGCCGCTCGCCCTCGCAGCGCCGCGCAGCAGAAGACGCTCGGCTTCAGCGGCTCGTACAGCGCCAACCCCAGCAAGCTCTCGAACGAGTACTTCCAGGTGCTGCTCAACGAGAAGTGGACGGCCGTGTCCAAGAAGGAGTTCAAGGCCGAGGGCCAGAACATCTACATGATGGACACGGACCTGGCGCTGCTGGAGGCGCCCGAGCTCAAGGTGGTGGTCGAGAAGTTCGCCAAGGACCAGAACGCCTTCAAGAAGGTCTTCGCCAAGGCCTGGGCCAAGGTCATGACGGCCGACCACTTCAAGGTGGACAGCTACTAAGCACCTAGTGTAGTATCCTCGTGCAGTAGTTACGCTCCAACAGCAACCTTAAATCGATAGCGACGTACATATAGATGTCTTTGCCCACTCGAACAAAGTTGCTTTTTTTCACTTCAACTTCCAACAACCAATCATTCGCAGCCATTTGCAGCCAATCAACGCCCACGGTCTCACTTACCGCAGAGCTAACTCCAACAACAATGGCGTGGACGACGACGACTATGAAGGCGACGTGAATCGAGAGGAGCCGGCCGACTCGGAGGTTTTCAGTGATGGCAAGTGGCCGTTCGGGGGCGAGGGCCAGCCCACGGACGTCCCGGCACCATCGGGGCCGGCCTGCCAACAGATCAGCGAGATGCTGGCGCGGGCTGATAACAACGCAGGGGAATATTCCTTCGGAGGGCAAGCGGCCACGCTCCCAGCAGTCCCTGGACTCTATGTCGATGGAGTGGGGCTCGTCCCCGTCCCCTTGACGGAGGAGCACGCAACGAAGCTAATTGCCACGTGTGACAAGTCCCCCTTTGGGAAGAGGTTGAGCACTATGATGGACGAAAGCGTCCGCAAGAGCTGGCAACTGGCGCCGGACCAAGTGGAGATCAAGAACCCAATGTGGCAGAATGGAATCGCAACCTTTACTGAGATAATTGCGGATCGTTTGGGCTACAAGGGCGTGCCGATGCAGTGTCTTCTGTACAAGCTTCTGGTGTATGGGGAAGGAGGTCACTTTGTCAAGCACCAGGATACGGAGAAGGAGGACGGAATGGTAGCGACGTTGGTGGTGCAGCTGCCCAGAGTCCACGAAGGAGGAGACCTTGTAGTGTATCGACGTGGAGAGGAGAAGTACCGTCACGATTTCGGGAAGAGTGACGGCACGGCGGCGTACCTGCCGCACTATGCGGTGCACTTCGCGGATGCGGAACACTCTCTGGAGCAGGTGACCAGCGGGTATCGACTTGTACTCGTGTACTCGGTTTGCTTGCCACCGACAATGCGTCACCTGATGAGGAGCCACGACCAGACACTGAGTGAGGAGCTGGCTGGAGTGGTGAATGCTATGGGCCAGGACGACGAGTCGTTCGCGCTTCTGCTGTCCCATGAGTACACAGAGAAAAGTATCGGTGAGCTCGGCTCGCGTGCACTGAAAGGTGTCGATCGCGCAAGATTCCAAGCTCTTGAAGAAGCCAACGCTGTGGTCTCCCCAGCGAAAAGACTGCAATTTTTTATTGCACAGCTGGAACTTGATGTCAATTACTACGACGATGGAGGAACCTAGGAGGAGAACGAACGCTACGAGAACATCAAGTGGTACTCGCCAAGGGGGGAGAGTATTGCTCATTCCATACGATCCAAGTTGGAGCTCAACTTCCTCAACCCGGGGCAGGAAACGTTTTCTGGACTATGGGCAAACCGTGGTAACAGCACATTTGAGGGATACCTCGGTAATTCTGGAGCAACGAGAAACACGACCTATTCGCGGTACGCTGTCGTTGCGTGGCCTGCGGCTCAGGGTGTGGAGAATGCTTTCAAGTACATCAACGTTAACGCGGCTGTTGGGGCCCTCCAAGCGCAGAGGCCAGTTGACGCTGTGCTCCTTCGCCGGTTTATGGAGGTGGTTAGTGCTAAGTTAGCGGCGCCACGTGAAGGGGTGAATTCGTGGGATCATCCGAAGACTGTTTCCGTTGGCTTTTGCTGCTCGTTGTGCGAGCTGTTGGTGGATGCTGGAGATCCGGCTTTGGTGCACTTGTTCTTCAGCAATTTCGTAAATGGCCTGAACCAGTATGACAAGAAGGATGACCTTGTTGATGGACTCATTGCACTGGCTGGTCGGTTCGATTGGAACGATATTGGCCAAGTCTTGCTGGGTTTCTTGGACAGAACTATTACAGCTGATCCCATGCGCATGAGTCACTACTACTCTCGCGTGGCCAGCAATGCCGACGATTCAGGACTGAGAATGGCGCTACGAATTGCTGATGGTTTGAACGCTGGAGCTGCTCAACAAGCTCTAATCCGAGCAGCAGCGGAGAAAGCCGCGCAGCTTCGCGGGGATGAGTTGAGCAAGTCCAGCGTCGTTGGATTGCTGTGGAAACGGGCCATTGGATGCGGTGACATGGATATATTCAACATCGTCGCAAATAAGTTCTCGGACACCAAGCCGAGCCTGCTGCAACCAGTCATTGAAGCGTTTTCGCAACATATCGCTGTCGTTGACGCGTCCGATAACAAGTTCGCTGTTCTAGCCTCCATCGCCGCCAAGAGAATTGACTGGCTGAATACCCAGCTCCAATCCATGGGTCAACCGTTCTCGTGGGAAATGCCGGATGCGCATTTCCCTGACAACGCTCATATCCAGGCATTTCTGCGAGGCCCCAACGTCTCTATGGACACCATCGGCGCGACCAGCTTTCTTTGGTTTTCAGAAAACCAAAGAAAGCTGGTCGAGTACATGGCTGAGGTGAAGCAGTTGCAAGATCGCTACGGTGGAGATGTCACTGGTAACGCCAGAAAGCGCGCGCGCGTGGATCAGCCGAATACCATACCTGAAGGCATACCTTCACTAATGTCATACCTTCAGTAGTGAAAAGAACACACAGGTTCTAGTCTTTTTAGTGCTCATTCTGCAAGTTGATCGCCGAGTGCAAGTAGTTGGGAGGACACTGAACACGATGATGAAGGGCCTATACCGCTTCGACAGTTCTACCAAGGTACAGACTCACAGAAGAGGAGTATGAGAATGCTAAAGCTGCAGTGATGATGAAAAAGATTTCGTCCGTGGTGTAATTAATCAATACAGTGAAGCCAAGTTGCTGTCAGGGGTGAGAAGAGCGCCGTGGAACACCGGTGCCGTATCCTCCAGATTGCCCAGCAGACTGAAAATTGGTGTCAACATGCCCAAGTCGAAGTGCAAGCCGACAACGCGGCTCCTCTCGCTGCTCCACTGAAAGCGCACAGACCCATGCATCGTCAGCTGTCGCCCGACAAGTGATGAATGTATCCATGCTGCATCACGCGTGGGGATACGGACAAAAGGGTGCTAACCGTGAGGGTGGCCGTGCTTTCGACGTAAGCGATCAAGACGCTGTCGTCGCAACTATCCAGGCACTCGAGCTCGATGTGTAGATCCTCAAGAATCGACGACTACTGCCTCCAGTCGTCCAGCAGCGCCGCCACTCCGAATCCTCTGTCACCAACCACGTCGTGTGCCATAGTCGCCAGGAAGAAGTCTCGCTGCTCGTGAAATTCACGCAGTGACATTGTCGGAGCCCCCCCTGAAGGCGACGCGGACGAGTGCATCCTAATCACAGGGGCCTTGCATCAGTTCTCAAACAAGCGAAAGTATTCCGCCGCAACACTCCACGCCGACGTGTTTGTCACGATACTGGCACTAACGATGCGACGCTGATCATTCAACTGCTGAATCTTGTCTTGAAGGCGCGCGATGCCAGCCTCGAGGTCTTCGACCTTTTGCTTCTGCCTCAGTGTGTGCTTGGCTTGGTGCATGCGGTTGCGTTTCCGGCGAAGTGCAAGGTCCGCCGCTGCTTGTGCTCTCAGTAACGCCATAGTGCGTTCGTCGAGGACGAACATGTTTTCAGATGACATTTCCGTTTCGGCTAGTGCTGCCTCCCCCGACGAGCGCTTGCGGCCAGAGAGAGTTCGGGTTGTTGCTGGTTGGGTCTTGGACTTGATCAAGGTGGCGATAGAGGCGTCATGGAGGTGGCCTCGCGGCAAACCGTGGCTAATGGCACGACTTCCCAAGCGCGAATGGCTGGTCGGGTAGAGTGTGCTGCTGTCCATTGTGCTGCGAGTTCGTAAATGAAAGACTGACGCGCTGTGAGCTGCATGTACTGTGCCTCGATAGTTGACTACTAATCAGGTGACCTGGCTCTGAGTCGCTAGTATTGTGCACTGCATCACATCGCAAGATTTTGATTTCAAGGTATTCGTGATCAAGGTTCCACGGTGCTTTGTCTGAGATATGCGTACTAGTGTCCATATCGCCTTGTTGCGAGCCTGCTAACGATGAGCTGACCTCTACATGAGTCACTAGATTTTATATGAACCGCATCGTTTCCAAATATTGGGATGCTGTATCTCTTAGTCATGCCGAAGCGTGCTCCAACTTGCTTTAAAGCCATACCTTTGCTTTATGCTAGAGAATTAGGGAAAACTAAATTCAGCTCCACGCACAGAAAGCTTACTCAAGTACGATCTAGATCAGCGATCCGTTCAGTCTTGAGCTGGGTATTCCCATCGAATCACCAACACACTTCCCGATCTTGTCTAGCTCACTTCCGACGGCCTTATTGACCTGGTCGGGCTCGCTTGCGAGGGCTGCTGGCAACAGCATCAGCGAAGCTTTTCGCCAGGATATTCAGCTCCGCCTTGTACTGCTGCACCAGCTTTTCGCGCGACGCAAACCACCCTCTCGTCTTAGTGATGGTCACGAACGCGTTATCATCCTCCTCCTGGTTCGCGCGCATCATCTTAGCGGCGTGGTTTTGGGCATCCTGAAGATTCTTGAAAGTGTGTACTCCCTCCGGTGCCTCTCAAAAACGCCTGAACCTGGGCAATATCAGGAATTCTGCGTCGGCCATTTCCCATGAGAAAGGCTTCTCAAGTTGTTGGATTTGGGTCTCCAGCCAGGCACTCCTTTTGTCCACGATACCTTTCAGAGCGGCAAATTTGTCGCCTAAGCGGTCAATGCCAGCCAAACACTGTGTGAAAGCTTGAGTTGCTGGATGCAACGTGCTTGGATCTGCTTCCTTCACCTTGCTCACCAACGTGTCATATGCACGGCTGTCACTGGAATGCAGAACCCACTTCCAGAAAATGATGGCATACTTGACCGAGTACGAGATCCTATCACGTTTCACAGCATTCTCCAAGGCTAGCTCCATCAGTCCGTTCTTAGGTGCAGTGCCATCTTCCAACCCGTCAGCCACCTGCAGAGCCGCTGCTACAGTCTTCAAATCGCCAAGTTGGCCGAACGATTCCAGACACGCTTCCCCAACGTCGCTCCAGTCCAACGAGTCCAGCATCTTCACAAAAATGGGGACTGCAGCCTTCTCACTTTCCAGACGGGTAAATAGCTTGCTGAAACACTTGCTGAAGAATGTCTTCACGTGGGCTGCATCACCAACATCCACCAGCAATTCGCATAGAATACGGCAAAACTCGGTAGATATAGGCTTGGGCTTGGACCAACGGCTCCTCTCCTTCTCCAACTTCGGTAGAATCGTGTTCATAAAGTCGCCAAGCGCACCAGCGGTAACAGGTTTTTGGCTCTCCAGCCTCAGCATTGATGAACTTAAACGCGTTCTCCACACCCTTAGCGGCCGACCAGGCAATTACCGCGTAGCGAGAGTACGTAGTGTTCATACTCGGACCTTCGTTCCCCATGAAACCTTGTTCCTCTCTGGTTCCGTGCGTCCGCCACAGTTCGTAAAAGGTTTCGAATCCCAGATTCAGGAAATTCATCTTCATGGTCAGCTTCTTCGCGCCAAACTGATGCCCGGACGTAGAAAACCACGTAATAACACTTTCACGCCGACCTTCTTCCCAGTCTCCACGCTCATATCCGTCAGCCGAATAGTACTCAATTTCGTGCGTCATCTTAGCAATGTAAAACTGCAGTTTCTTGACAGCATCAACGGCAGCGTTTGCATCCTCCAGCGCCATGAATCTAGCTCGGTCGATGCCCTTCAGAGCGCCCGAGCCTAGATCCCCAACGCTCTTCTCCGTGTACTCGTGCGCCAACAGCAGCGCAAACGATTCCTCTTCAGGTCCCATCGTGCGGATCGCATCGGCGAGTTCTTCACTCATGAGCTTATCGTGGTCTCTCTCGAGATGACGCATTGCAAGCGGGAGGCAAAGCGAGTAAACTAGAGCGAGGCGAAAGCCCTTCGTCACCTTCTCCAGCGCATGCTCCGCGTCCGCGTAGTGCACCGCATAGTGCGGCAAATACGCCGCCGTACCGTCCTTCGTACCGAAATCATGTCGGTGCTTCACTTCTCCACCGCGATAGATTATCAAATCACCACCTTCGTGCGTACTTGGCAGTTGAACCACTAGCGTTGCCACCATACCGTCCTCCTTTTCGGTGTCCTGATGCTTCAGAAAGTGGCCTCCTTCCCCGTACACCAACATCTTGTACAGCTTACACTCCATCGAAACCGACTTGTAACCCAGACGTTCAGCGACAGTGTGTGCGAGCTTATCCATTCCAGTCTGCCACACAGGGTTCTTGAACTGTACACGGTCGGGCTGGAGCTGCCAGCTTTTGCGCACACTATCGTCCATCTTGGTGTCCATAGGGGGATTTCTCGCACTTGTCGATCAGCTTCGCGGCATACTCGTCCGTCAGCGGAGTCGCTCATCCACTAACAGCCCCGGTACCGCTGGTAGAGTGTCCGCCACTCCACCAAAGGTGAATTCACCCGCGTTTGCTTCGGCTTGCGCCAGAATAGTATTGATTTTCTTCGACGTAGCTCCGACTGGAAGGGGGACATCTCTCGATCTGCCCTCACCATCAAAGGGCCATTTGCGCTTTAGAGGCCCAAGCTCCTCCTCTTCATCGGAATCAATCTCTTCGTCTTCTTGTTCATCCGAGCTGTGCTCCTGCTGCTGCTCGTCCGGACCAAGCTCCTTCTCTTCATTCTCTTCAATCGGACTCAGCATCTCGATGTCGTCGCTGCTTGGCATCTTGCCGTCTTCACTGGAGCGTCTTAGACTTGCTTTCGACTCGGGGAATTTTGAACTGAAAACTAACGGTTGGATCGGGCAGTCAGTCACGTTCTATCGCAGAATTATGACCATCAATCGAGTTTTTGATGGCGCAAATTCCGATCAAAGCTACCACGAGGCTGCTACTTTCAATCTGTGGTGTTGAACTTGGTTAAAACTTTGACGATTCAAACGCAACTACATGTAGACCTGTAGTGGAGTGTTCACTGCAACCGGAAGACAATACGAGCGCTTCCTACTCAACGCGAGCTCGTTTCATAGCAGGACCATCAGCACCACCTCCACCTTCACGTCCGCCAAAGCGATCAATTAGATCCTTGAGCTCATCCTTGTACGACAGCAAACTGTTTTCGTACTGGGAGAACCAATTGCGTGTTTTCTGGATGGACGCCTCCTTGCCTCTTCCACAGGGCTCCATCGTGAACGAAGCATGGGTCTGGGTGGCGCGCATGCACTTCGTAGCGTACTTTCGAGCGTCTGGGAGCCCGTTAAAGGTCATGATTCCTCTGGTGGTGGCCGTTGCATTCGGGCCGCGGAGGAAGGCCTGGATTTGGGCATTCTCTGGAAACCGAGCTTTCGGCATCTCCCAGCTGAAAGGCTTCTCATTAGCCTCCAAATAGTTCTTCAACCACTTAATACGAACGGCAACGATCGAAGCGAGCACGATAAACCTTTCATCTGATGCGGCGATGCCGTCCAGATGCTGCAACAGCATTTCAATCGATCGTTGTAGTTCGGCTGGCTCCATCTTCTTGACTTTATTTGCCAGTGGCTCGAGGATGCTCTTACTACCTTTGCGGATAGCCAGCATCCACAGCAGTCCAATGACATTCGACCTGCACAAACGCTCATCTCGGATCTGCACAGCTTTCTCTACAGGCGCTTTGAGTAGATCCTGCTGGGCAGCTCCGTTATCGAGGCTATTAACCAAGTTCAACGCGACTTTCATGCCCGAGTCACTAGCCTCACGCGCGTAACCCATAAAGCCAAAGCTTCTCTCTTGAACGTCTTCATCCAACGAGCCCAGCAGCCCGTTACCGATATCATTCCACTTAAAGGCGCGAATAATCTTGACAATAGACTGGAGCGCAGCCTCCTTTTCTTCAAGACGACCAAGGAAATTGGTGAAGAACAAATTCACCAGTGCTGGATCACGAACTTTTACCAACAGGTCGCACAGCGTTTCGCAAAATTTGACCGAGACAGACTCAGCCTTCGGCCGGTAACCCAGCGAGTACGATCCATACGACTCATCGTCGTCCATTAAGTCAGAATTGGCAGCAGTCGTCATAAGTGACCGGAGTGTTGCAGCATCGATCGACTTCTGAGCTTTCAGAGCCCCCAGAGCAGCATTCGTGCCAATGTACTTCAGTGCATTTTCCACACTTCGAACTGCAGGCCAGGCGGCGATCGCGTACCGAGAATACGTCGTGTTTCTCGTCGCTCCTTCATTGCCAAGATACCCCTCAAACGTACTGTTGCCATGTCCTTCCCAAAGCTCAGCCAGCGTGTCCCGTCCAGGATTCAGAAAATTCATCTTGATCTCTTCCATGCCTTGCCCGTAGCTCTGTCCGGTAGAAGAATACCACTTGATCTTCTCGTTCCGTTCATTTTCCTCCCATGCACCTCCAGTATCGTAGTAGCTGATGTCATGCTCCATTCCAACAATGTAGAACTGCATTTTCTTCTTGGCAGGGAGCTTCACGTTCGCTTCTTCAAGAGCGTCAAGGTAAGGTTTCAAACAGGTCTTATGCAGGTCTGGTCCTGTTTTGGTCCTACGACATCTAAACGAGACCGAACGGGAAATAAGTATGATTTCCCTGGTGGTCTCGTTTGGATGCCGAGACCCAAATGGTATCACTACGAAACACGCAAATTTTAGAACCTCTTCACTTTGATATATAATATCGCGATATTTAGTAGTAGTAGTGATGATATAGCTTAGTACTTTGGGGCTAGTTGACTTAGAGTACTGCTGGGGATTATAATTTGGTTCACAACATGTCTGGAATTCGGTACATGTCCGTGTGGTAGACGAATATTGCATAACGACAATGGAAACGGTGTACTAAAGGTAGAATTGGTCAATATAGGATAATTTCTAGATCAATTTATCTTCCTCGTACGTCTAGTATCGAGGACCTTTAAGTTTACGAAGCTATTACTATCGTTTGAATAGGCGGTTGAAAAAGGTTATGTAAATGCAACGACGACAAATGGAGGGGATAGCCACCCCTTTAGCGGCGCCCGGTAAAGCGGTTGTCGCCATTTGATCAGAGCTGGCCCCTTCATCCAATATTTGTTATATTCAAATCACCGTTAGTTTGCTGAGAGTACTAAGTGTACCGGACTGAAGACTGGATCTCAAAATCTCGATCTAAACCGTAGTTTGGACCATTCCAAGTTTAGGCTTACAGAGGTGGTCTATGTAACAGGGTGCTAACCTTAGAACATCCGAAGATTTTTTATATTATTGCATGGTGGAACTATTCCATCAAAACTCGGCCTTATTGTCTATTTCAAATCTTTAGACTACTTATTCCCAACATCATGAGATTGTCCAGGGTTGATTTCCTTCCGGTGCAGCTTTTACCGACGTACTCCGGGGTGCAAAGGGAAAGTCGACTACAGTTTTGAGCGAGATGTGTTCTACAATTTTACGCCACACACTTGTGAAGGGACGGGCTAAGCTCCAAGCCAATACGTTGACGCCACCGAGGAAATGAAGGCCGAGGTTGATCGATTGTCGATTCTGCACCTTTCACACACGGCGCAACAGATTTGGTTGGCGGTCCGCGAGCAGTTTTTCGTCAGAGACGACGGCGCGGTTGTTCAAGGACTGACACGAGATCAAGTCCGGCAACGTGTGTACCGCGCGAGACGTGTTCATTTCGGTGGATACGTGCATGGAATGGTCGAGGTTGCACCGCAGAGCCTGGTTCAAGGGACTACATTGAATTTTTTTCAGTTCCACCACGTCTTTATGGAGTGCACGCGGCTACAGCGTGTGCTGGGTTGGGCGGACCCTCGACTGCTGGAGTTACTTCGGTATCCGGTCTGGCAGATGTTCGTCGACGGAACTTTCCGGTGCGTCCCGAGGTCGTTCTACCAGTGTGTCGTGTTGATGGTGAGCGACGCAGCAAGTGGCGTGTTCGTGCCTTGCGTTTACGCTCTTACGACTGGCAAAACCCATCAACTATACCAAAAGTTGATGCAGTTCATGAATGACTGCACGGGTAGTCGCCTTCAACCTGGGAGTGTCGTCTGCGACTTCGAGGCAGCGCTGATCGATTCAGTGACCGACCAGTTTCCGCACGCCAGGGTCATCGGATGCTTGTTTCACTTCAAGCAAGCGACCCGACGATGCATGATGAAGTTGCGTATCTGACCCCAGGAGATCTCGATTGCGATGGAAGTCGGCGTGTTGGACATGCTAACGGTGATCGTACCTGCTCATGTCGGTCCCCACCGAATCAAATATGTCTCCGAGTTGATTATGTCTCGCTGCCGTACCGAAGAGATTGAGTACTCGGCGGTTGGGTGGGATCGTTTCTGAAAGTACTTTCGTCGCACATGGATCAACATTTTTCCAGTCGATGTGTGGAATGTTTATGGCATGGATTTGGGAGTGGTAAGCCGAACCAACTACCCCCTGGAGCGGTTCAACCGGGAACTCAACGCAGCCATCGCTGCGCCACACCCAAGCATCCCCGCTTTCGTATCGACAATCGACACATTATACGCCGGCGGTACGTGCAACTGCTTCGCGATATCTCTAATCGCAGAGCTGTTGCCCCAGCTCACGGGGTGATCGAGTTGCTAGTTGCGGTCGACTTGATATCGCGTGTTAACGCTGCGCGTCGTGAAGCCAGTAGGTCGTCGAACTCACGAACCAGTCGCGCTGGTCGTGCTGCTTTAACTCGCGGTGGTCGTACAGCTTCAATTCGCGGTGGTCGTACAGCTTCAACTCGCGGTGGTCGTACAGCTTCAATTCGCGGGGTCGTAAAGCTTCAACTCGAGGTGGCAGGGCAACTTCAACTCGTGGTGGCAGGGCAACTTCAACTCGCGGTGGCAGGGGTGATCATGGAGGTCTGGCATCGATGCGTTCCCAGGAAGCCCAAGTGGATAGACCAAGTCGGACGGCCCGGGCAGCTAGAGTCGAGCGACGTACAAGCCGGGTTACCCGCAGCATGACTGACAATTAACGGTTGGCAGCAGGTTGAAGGCCCTGACACGGTTTGTTTTTTATGCAATTTCCCCTCCAATACATAATACATCTAATTTCCGTTTACATATATAATTACAGAGTCTTTTAAAAACCCTGTTTTGTTAGGATCTTTTTTAGGTCCCATTTGGAGGCTAATTTTATTTCGGTCCTGTTTTGGTCCTACGGACCAAAAAAGACCAGACCTGCATAAGACCTGTTTAAAAATCTTCCATCGTCAACCCTGGCGCGACCAATGCCCTTCAGCGCTCGAGTCCCCAAGTCTTGGATGCTTCTGTCCGTGTACTCGTGCGACAGCAGCAACGAAAACGAGCCTGCTTTAGGCTTCAGTTTTCCAATCAGACCAGCAAGTTCCTCACTCAGCAGCTTGTCGTGATTGCGAAGTAAGTGGCGCATCGTCGCCGGCAACAGATCGAGAAGACCAGCACCAGACGGAAGCCCTTCGTCACCTTCTTCAACGCATGCTCCGCATCAGCATAGTGCACCGCATAATGCGGCAGGAAAGCCGCTCATCCCTCTTGCCAAAGTCATGACGTTGCACCTCCTTCCCACCTTGGTACACAACCAAGTCTCCCCCTTCATGCTCGCTCGGCAGCTGAACCACCAACGTCGCCACCATCCCGCCCTCTTTCTCCGTATCCTGGTGCTTCACAAAGTGCCCTCCTTTCCTGTACACCAGCAACTTGTACAGTTTGCACTGCATAGGGACTCCTTTATAGCCCAGTCGACTGGCAATAGTCTCTCTTAACTGATCCATCCCAGTCCCCCACTGAGGGTTCTTGAATTACACTTGATCGGGTGAAAGTTGCCAACTTTTACGCACTTTCTCGTCCATCATCGTGTCGAGCTTCTTGCCAAAGGGGGACTTGTTGCACTTGGCGATGAGTTCCTCCGCTTGGGTCTTGCACAGAGGGAGAGCAATAGTGCCCACCCCCTTGACGTTTAGCCCTGGGGCAACTGGCAGTGTATCAGCCTGCCCCCCGAAGGAAAACTCCCCCGCTTGGCCCTCAGCTCGAGCGAGAACGTTGCTGATTTGCGCACACAGCTTAAACACTTCGGTCTCGGTGGGCTCCGTCTTGTCATAGTCCGCCTCTTCCTCGTTGTAGCCCCAGCCGCTCCCTTCTCCTTCAACGGCAAGATGCAAAGGGAGCTTTGGCTGCGAAAGGTGCAAAAAAAAACTTTGAAACTAAATAAGTTGCAGTTCAACTTCAAATCTCAACTCCGACAAATTCAACATGATAATGGTTCGTAAAAACCAGCGCACCACTCGCGCCACACTTGACTACTCCAGGCGAGCTTTCTTGCTGGCGCTACCGTCCGAGTCCCCTCCGAGCTTCTCCTTTAGACGCTCGAGCTCCTCCTTGACCGGCTTGATAATCTTCTCTGCGTTTTGGGAAAACCACTCGCGGGTCTTGGTGATGGTGACGAAGGCGTCTTTGCCTCTGCCACCGACCTCCATCGTTTAGGTGGCAGAAAATTGAAAATCGGTCGTATCCCGGATAAACCTTCGTGCATCAGCAAGTCCCGAGAAACGGAGCACCCCCGTGGTGTTCATGGATTCGTTGGGCCGCGGAGGAAGGCTTGGATCTGATTGTTCCGTAGAAATAGCGCATTCGGCATCTCCTAGTTGAAAGGACCCACCAATGTTTGCAACTGGTTGTTCAGCCGAACGGCCACAACTGAAGACAGAACAGCGAACTTGTCACTGGACGCGTCAATATCACCAAACTACTGCGAGAGTGTAGTGATGATTCTTGAGCTTCGGGTCCATTTGTTTGAACTTGCTCAACAAAGTGTCGACATTGGTCTTGTCACCGGAGCTGAAAGCCGCATCCCATAGACGCCCCACGACACCCGACCAGCGCAAAGAATCATCTGGAACTTTAACCGCAGTCTCTACTGCAGTATTCAGCAGCACCTTGCCGGCTCCTCCTCCTAGTTCTTTGGACAACTTCAGCGCTATCTGCACGCCTTCAGTGGAGGACGTGCTCAAGGAGCCCAGCAGCGCTTGCTGAATATTTTCCCATCCAAACTTTTCAATGAGCGACTTTACTGACGGAAGAACAGCTTCCTTATTCTCCACCTGATGGCGGTGGAAGAAGTTGGTGTAAAACATTTCCACCAGTGTCGGGTCGCCAGCATTGAGGATCAGCTCGCATATCGCTCGACAAAACCGAACAGCACGAGAAGCTGGATCAAAACGGGACCGCCAGTGAGATCGCGATTTCTCGCCATCCAGACTCGCCGTTGCAGAGGTTGCCATGAAGTTCCGGAGAACTTGAGCGTCGATCGTTTCCTGAGCTTGCAGGGCGTCAAGAGCGGCACTGGCACTAACGAACTTTGAGGCATTCTCCACACAACACGCCGCAGGCCAGGCGGCGATAGCGTATCGCGAGTATATCGTGTTTCTCGACGCTTGTTCGTTGCCAAGGTAGCCTTCATACGTACTATTCCCGTGGCCTTCCCAAAGCTCCGCAACATTGTTTCTCCCAGGATTCAAGAAGTTGAACCGCACTTTGGAGTCCTCATCGCTTCCGAGGCTCTGGCCACGTGTCGAATACCACTTGATCGACTCGTTTCGTTCGCACTCTTGGCACCTACCGCCACCGTCATCATCGTACCACACGTCGTGCTTGAAGTCTGCGATGTATAAGTGCAGCCTTTTATCAGCAGGAAGAATTGCGTTGGCTTCCTCCAAGGCGTCGACACGCGCGCGATCGATGCTATTCATCGCGCGGGTGCCCAAGTCAGTGATACTCTGCATCGTGTATTTGTGCGATAGTAGCAACGAGACAGCTTCATCCGCTGGTTTGAGACGGCCAATGCACCCCGCAAGTTTCTCACTCATCGACTGATCCAGATTCCGCTTGAAATCCACGGTCAGCACAGCGAGTAGATCGCCACCAGTCGGTATCCCTTCGTCACTGTCTCCAATGTATGGTCCGCACCCGCGTAATGGACAGCGTAATGCAGCAAATTTAGCCGCTGTGCCATCCCTCTTGCCAAAGTCATGACGTTGCACCTCCTTCCCACCTCGGAACACCATCAAGTCTCCCCCCTCATGCTTACTCGGCAGCTGAACCACCAGCGTTGCCACCATTCCTTCCTCCTTCTCCGTGTCCTGATGCTTCACAAAGTGACCTCCTTTCCCGTACACCAGCACCTTGTACAGTTTGCACTCCCTTTATATCCCAATCGACTAGCAATACTTTCTCTCAACTGTTCCATCCCAGCTTCCCACTGTGGGTTCTTGAATGTCACTTGGTCCGGTGCAAGTTGCCAGCTCTTACGGTACTTCTCGTTCATGAAAGTATCCAGCTTCTTGCCGCACGGGGACTTCTTGCACTGCGCGATCAGTACGTCAGCGCGTTTCTTGACCAAAGGGAGGGTGACAGCTGTGAGATACAGTCTTACCTGTGCTGCGGCTCAACAACGACAGATCTTGCCAAAGCTCTTCCGCGTGTGGTTGCCACGCGCGGCTATCAAGTGTATCCAGCTCTGTCGTACAATGACAGCAGGAGTATGTACACTTTACTATGGAGAACGATATTGATGGCAGGGAGCACGAAGGCTCTGCTCCCTGCCCTAGTGCAAAGGACAACATGTACTTAGATTTAGTGTAGTTATCTTGCTTGTTGTATTGATGCTGCTAATACACTGACTGCTGGTATGCAGGAGTTTGGCTGGAGTTTCCCACTCACTCGAGAACTTGACGCCTGCGGCGCAAGTGGGAACCTCTACCGTACCTGTCGTGGCGTTCTGCCTCGGCACTTACGTGCTTCTCAGTCTTTCCTCTATCTACTTTGCGACTGCTATGACTGTAACTCTACGTAGTAGTAGCAACGTGGAGCCTAACACCTCTCAACAGCACCCACCTCCTCCACGGCCAGCTGAGGATCGGCTGGTAAAGTATCTGCTTGCCCTCCGAAGGACCCCCCCCCCCCTCCTCGTACCCTCCCCAACATCCACCCGCCATGATACTCAAAAGATACTCCCTAACTTTAGCAAATCAAATGACACATATAGGGTACCCTACCACTTTGACATGTAACCGGAAACTTAACCTTTCCGTAACTTACTGCAAGATTTCCCGCCAAATATGAGCGACGAAGAGGCCGAGGCAACGAGATCTGAGCTGCGGTGGCCGTTCGGCTGCGAGGGGGAAGCTGGCGACGTGCTGACGCCCAAGGGCGAGACGTGCGCCAAGCTCAGTCGTCTGCTGGAGAAGGCGGAGGTGGCAGCGGGCGAGTTTTCCTTCGGAGGTGAGACCTCCTCGCTGCCTGCCATCCCGGGGCTCGTTGTGGACGGCGTTGGGTCCATTCCCGTGCCGCTGACAGAAGAGAGGAAAGATAAATTACTTGCACTATGTGAGAAAATAACTTCGGCTCAAGACCAATGCTGGAGACTGCAATGCGACCGAGTGCAGATGAAAAACCCAAAATGGGTGAAAGGAATCCAAAAGTTGGGTGAAACTGTGGGTGACCGTCTGGGTTTTAAACGGAGTAAGCTCAACTGCGAGCTCCAGGAGCTGCTGGTGTACGGCCCAGGCGCTAGAGAGACCAGACACCAAGAGGCCAAGCAGGACGGGGTCGTGGCTACATTGGAGGTGCAGCTGCCCTCGGAACACTCGGGCGGTACTTTGGTTGTGTTCCGAGGCCGCGACCTGAAGTTCCGACACGATTTTGGGGCTGGAGAAAGAGACCGCAGCTTACTTGCCGCATTACGCGGCGTATTTCGTGGATGCTCCTCATGCTCGGGAGGAGGTGACGAGTGGGTTCCAGCTGATGCTGAAGTACTCACTGTCGCTGCCTGCCGAGATGAAACATTTGGAGGACGCGAAGGGCGATAAACCGCTGAGTGAAGAGCTCGCGGAAGTGCTGAAGGGGCTCGATGATGACGACGACTGCTTTGGAATGCTGTTGGAGGGCAAATACGCGGACAAGTTGATTCGCTGTCGAGGAGCGGACGCGCTGAGTGAGATGGACAAGACGAGGTACCGCGCGCTGCTGGAAGCGAACAGTTTGATCCCAGAGGACAAGGCGCTGGTGTTTTACATCGAGTGTCTTAATCGCTCGGTAAAGCGCTACGACGGCCGGGTTGCGGCGCACAAGGATCCTAATTGGGAAGAAGAGTACGCGAGCTGGCAAAAATACGACCGAAAGGACGAGGTCACGTGGTACTCTATCGGCGGGGAAAAGTTCGGTAGCGCTCTGACCACCATGTACACCAACTCTATTCAGGGGCCAAAGGAGAAGGATGCGGTCACCACTTTCAAGCCGACGTTTTTGAACCCTGGGAGACTTAAGTTGTCCCAGCTCTGGAAGAGCGACGGCTATTCGATTGACGGCGGCGGTGGCGAAGACCAGATGAAGACGATTGAACTGACTCGATATGCTGTGTTCGCGTGGCCTGCAAGCAAGAACATCGACTATTCGTTCAGATTCGTGAACAATGAAGCCGCAGCCGCTGCACTTCATGCTCAAGAAGCCGTCGGTGCAGACACCTTACGACAATTCATGGAGAGGGCTAGCACAGAAGCCGCAGCGAAGGAGAAACTCCGTTCAATGTGCAGGCGGTACAGTTACCGGGATCCGAGTGCAGCTCCTTCGACTTTTTGTCAGAAGATGGCCGACCTCATCGTGAAGTCTGATGATGCTACTCTCGTGAGTTTAGTGTTCGATAAATTTGCCGTTGGAGAGAAGTTTGTCGACAGCATTTGCTCGCTGATCGAAGCATTCAAGTGGATCGACGTTAAGGATGCGGTTCTCAAGATCTTGAGAAAAGCAAGCGACCGTCACCGCAGCTACGGGTGGGAGGCAGAGAATGACGTTAAGCTGACATTGCGTTTGGTCGACAAGCTGGAACGAGGCGAGGCCCAGACCGCGCTTTTGGGTGAGGCTATGACCAAAGTCCTGGAAAGTGACCCTGAAAAAGTGGTAGATTCTACCGTGAAAAGTCTGCTCTGGAAATGTGTGGTCCAGAGTGATGACTTGGCTGTCCTTACCAGCCTTGTTGAGCATTTCAAGAAGATCAAGCCAGATGACCTGGAACCTGTTCTCGAAGCGGCTTCAGAGCATGTGGCGCCTTTGGACACGAGCGATGAAAAGTTTAAAACCATTGCTTCAATCGCTATGATGCGAATTGAGTGGCTGAACCAGCAGATTGACCAGCTGGACAGACCGTTTACGTGGGAATGTCTAATGCGCTTTTCATCGACAACGCCCGCGTCCAAGCCTTTCTCAGAGGCCCCGAAAGCACCATGACCACGGAAGGGTTGGTGTACTTCAGGAATCTGAGGCACGCCCAACGGTGGACCCGCCACAAGCAAGAGAATGCATCGTTTGACCTGACAGCCGAAGGGACTGGCCGCGACGCGTTTGTGAGAATCACGAAGACCCGCAGGTACTACGAACAGCGGCAAGCGACAGCTGAGAGGTATAAGTCTGAAAAAGAGAAGCTGTTAGCGAAACGCTTTACAGACCCCACTCTTACCGTGAGCCGAAAGCGCCCCAGAGAAGAAGACAGCGAAGACGCCGAAGAAATCGAAGACGTGGTAATGGAATAGCCAGCTCGGCGGTTTCTAAGACAATCTGGATGAGGTTTGGCGACGACTTATCGAATTGTTGAGATAGTTTGCCTTCTAGACATTTTTTCTCTTACTTCCAATTCCTCTCTGTAAAGCACACGCCAAGTACTCGTGTCTGGTTTACGGATACGGTGAATGACTTAAAATTGTTCCTGAACAGAGACCTCGAGAATGGAACGATTGTGCCAAGAAGCGTGTACGGATTAAGTAGTACTGCACGAAGCTTACGAACGGAAGGTATTCTATTGGAGCATTCACGAGTAGCGTGCAGACGAGTATAAACTCTATTGCTATTTCACATTTTTGTGACTGTCACTTTCTTTCAATCCACAATGCCAAATTAATCTTTCCTTCTGATTTTCCGTTTTTCAGACCAGGACTCAATCATGTCGGACACCGAGTATGAGCAGCTGGAAGACCAAGCCCCGGATTTTGATGAAGACTTTGGCGACAAGGAGTGGCCATTCAGCGACAAAGGGGGAGTTGACGAAATCCCAGTTCCGACGGGAACTGCGTGTGGCAAGATCAGCGCCATCTTGGGAAGAGCGAGCGAGCACTCTGGCGATTTCTCCTTCGGAGGACAAGCTGACCAATTGCCTGTGGTTCCCGGCATGTTTGTGGATGGGGTGGGGCCAGTTCCAGTCCCTTTGTGGGAGGAGAGAGCCCATAGGATTATTGAGAAGTGCACCGAGTCTCCGTTCGGCCACAACATGGACACCAAAATGGACGAGAATGTACGAAAGAGCTGGGAGTTGCAGCCTGACCAAGTGAAGTTCAAGAATCCGCTGTGGAAGGCAGGGATTGAGAAGATGGCGGTGACTATTGCTGAGCGACTGGGGTACAAGGATATTCCGTTGCAGTGTGTATTGTACAAGTTGCTGGTGTATGGAGAAGGGGGCCACTTTTTGAAGCACCAGGACACCGAGAAGGAGGATGGCATGATCGCGACGTTGATTGTGCAGCCTCCGAGCTTGCACGAAGGAGGAGACTTAGTGGTGTATCGGAACGGGGAGGTGAAGCACCGCCATGATTTTGGAAAAGCTGATGGAACAGCAACGTATTTGCCCCATTACGCTGTCCATTACGCCGACGCAGAGCATGCACTAGAGAGGGTAACGAAGGGGTACCGTCTCGCATTGGTATACTCGGTTTGCTTACCAGTAAACATGCGGCACTTGGAGCGGAACCCAAATCGACCGATGAGTGGAGAACTAGCAGAAACCATCGAGACAATGGCGTCAGGAGACGACAATTTCGCGCTGTTCTTGGTCCACGAGTATACGAAACATAGTATTGCGGGGCTTGGGGCAAGTGCACTGAAGGGCGTCGACCGCGCGAGATTTCTGGCACTGGATGAAGCAAATAATTCAATTTCTGCCGAGAAGAAGCTGCAATTTCAAATCGTCAAATTATATCACCATGTCAACTTTTACGGCAGGTTTGGAGCTATTGGCGATTGGGACGAAAACGGCCGTGAAGAGAACGTGACTTGGTACTCAACTCGCGGGGAATGTCTTGGCAATGGCGACAAGGTGAAGCTAAAGCTCAACTTTCTCAATCCAAATACTGAAACCCGGTCTCAATTCTGGCAAAAGCCTTACGGAAGCAGTGACATGCACAGCTACACGGGCAACGAAGGACCGACAAAAGACAGCATCTACTCCCGATTCGCTGTCGTCGCGTGGCCCGAATTGGAGAGTTTGGAATTTACATGCAGATTTATCAGCGTGGAAACTGCCTTTATGGCGCTGCAAGAGCGGGTGCCGGTCGGTACAGCTAGGCTGCAGAGACTAATTGAGATTGCGAACACAAAGTTGGAGGACATGGAAACATATCGACTGGAGTACTCACGCAGAGGATACTCGGACCAGCTGCAGCCTTTTTTCCTATCGACTTGCGTCTGTCAAGTGCTATGTCGACAATTGGAGAGTTGTGGTACGTCGAGGTTGGTGAACTTCTTCTTCAGGAGTATGTTATTTAGCAGAGTGACTCATAAAGGAGGCCTTGCCTCGGATATTGCCAAACTGGTGCAGAAATTCAGCTGGGCAGACGTTGGTAAATCGATTTTGGATGCCTTGACTAGCAACAGCGAGAACCCCAACGCTGTTGACGACGTGCTGGCGGTTGTCAACGCTTTCGACCGTGAAGAACCTCAACGAGATCTGTTAGCACTGGCAGTGAAGGGAGCCGTGGGGCTTAAAGATGGCAGGTTGGTTTCGTTGATACCGCTCCGGGAACTCTGGGAATTAATTCTCAGCCGCGGCAATGACGCTATGCTCTACACGCTATCCTGCAAGTTCCAACAAATGAGCCCGCGGTTGCTAAACCCAGTCATCAAAATACTTTCGCGCTATCTCGAAGTCGGTAGTTTCCCCGATGACAAGAAAGCTCTGTTTGTGGCGATTATATCTGGCCGCGTAGAGTGGCTGAAGGACCAGATTCGTGTGTTAGAGAAGCCGTTCTCGTGGACGATGCCGGTGGCGGAGTTCCGCAAGTCCGTTGAAATTGAAAAGTTTCTCCGTGGTCCTGAAGAGACAATGACTACGACTGGGATTATCAACTTTGGTAGCTCGTGGAGTGCGCAGATGTTTTGTTCAAAGCACGCCGGGTACCGCGCAAGGGCGACTCAGATCAATGCTTCCTTCGGAATGAGTGGTGGTGGCGGTGAGCGCGATCCGTTCGTGGAGATCACGAAGACACGCGCGTGGTACGACGAGAACCAAGAGAATCTGCCGCGTTTGAAGGAAGAGCTGGGCGAGTTGACGAAGACGACGGTGGAAACGCTTCTGAAACTTCTATCGACGAAGGCTTGGGCTCGTCAGAATTGAAAGTCGAGAGCTTCACGGTGGCACGTGAGGGTGAATCAAGGGAGAAATGTTGCCAACTGCATGAAGGACTGTTCCGCAAGCGTGGCGACGACTCCAGTTATGGTTTGTAGGATCATGCCTCATTCTTCACGTGAACAAAGGGTATTTTTGTTTGTGAGATTCTGAGTTTAGTCCGAGAGGACAACTTGTTACCTTTCCTGCTCATAACTTCGGGGATAAGTTCGCTAGATTTTGCTCCGGTATTCGCATATCATCGGCGATAAAGCGGCAAAAACGGAGAACTTTGTATCGCCTGTTACAAGTAGGAGAACCTTGCAAGCATTACTCAGCGGTGATATGTGTCATTGCGAGTGCTCATTCTGCCCAGCAGTAGGACAGGCAACAAGTATAGCTAGGTTAGAGATCTAGCCCCACGTCTCCAAGGGGAATTCCCCTATCCATGTTCGTACGGAGCCTCTGCTCCAAGTGTGTTCTCATTCTCAAATATACCTTCCTCAAAGGACTCGAGTCTCCGGCGCTGTCGACTCTTCTCAGTGGTCTTCCTTTTCTGCGCCCACTTCCAAAGTAACAAGACAAAATCGGTCTTCTCATCCAGTTCCACCGCCTTCTCCTGCAAGAGGTCCGCACCGCAGGCAGTGGGCACCGTGAGCAGTGCAAAATTTGGTAGAAAAACAGCAACTTTGGTGCTTGCTGCAAGTGGCTGAGTGTTGAATTTTATGCAAGAAATCTAAGAGCTAGCGAGAAAACAGTTTCGGTAAGAGCGTTAGCCGCAGAATCGAGTTACTAATCACCTCCAAACCAGCAGCGACGTTGATCCCACGCAACAACTTCAGTGTGCACCTGCGGAGGGAGTGCTGTGGCCAGCCCAACGCAGTACTAGAATTACTCCACCCGCGCGCGCTTCATGGCACCGCCGTCATTCCCTTCGCCATACTGCTCCCTCAGCTGCGCGAGCTCGACCTTGTACTCCTCCAAGGTCTTTCGAGAATCATCGTACCACTGGCGGGTCTTGGTAATCGTAATAAAAGCGCGACTACCGCTGCTACCAGCTTCGGTCTTAAATGATGCTGCGTCTTGGCGATCCGCCCAAACCTTCGCGTAATACTGCGCATCGCTGCTATCGCAATACGTGATGGTTATCGATTCATCGGGACCTCGAAGCAACGGCTCCACTTTCTTGTCGTAGTATTTGGCATCGGGCATCTCCCAGGTGAACGGCTTGTCCAACAATTCAATTCGATCATGTAGCCACTTGATGCGGATGGAGCTGATCGCCTGTGCTGACGAATAAATCTCACCCACAGTGTCACCCGCGTTCAGGCGTAGTAAACTTGGGTCTGCACGCTTCAGTCGATCCTCCAATGCCACGGATAAAGTCTTGTCTGTCCCCTGTATCGTTCACTTCCACAGTAGCGGGCAACATCATCCGAACAAAACTTCTCGTCATCGAATTCCACCGCCTTCTCCTGGGCCATTTTCAATAAGTCTTGCTGAGCCGCTCCGCCGTCGAGGCTGTCCACCAGACATAGTGTAAGCTCCACGCTGCAGCATCCAACGGGGGTGTTATTGTACCAGCGTGGGGTTGCATTTTTGCCCAAGGAATGCATCAAGGCAGACCCAATGTCCTTCCAGTCATACGCGTGTACAAGCGCGACAAGGGATGGAATCACATCAGCATTGTACTCCACACCGCCGAGGGATGGACACAGATCCGTGAAAAACTGCGTCACCAACGATGGATTCCCAGCTTCCTATAGCAACCCGGAAAATATCTGGCAAAACTTGCTGAACTCCCATTTGGGTAGGTGTCCAGCGCTCCCCTTCTCGGCTTTGAACCTCACTTTCACTTGGTTCAGTAGTCTTTGGAGATTCGTTGGCTTGTGAGTGGAGAGAGCGTCAACAGCGGTATCCATAGGCAAATACTCGACAGCGTTCCCTGCATATCGAGCGACCGGCCACGCAGCTATCGCAAACCTCGAATACTTGGTAGTTGCCGATGGCCCTTCGTTGCCTGTGTACCCCTTGTCTTCTTTCGCCCCGTGCGGCATCCAGAGGTCAGAGAGCGATTGGTTGGCAGGATTGAGGAAGTTGAACGCTGACTTCATTTTATTCGCGTGGCCGAGATACTCGCCATCCATCGTGTACCAGTCCACGCTTTGCTTGCGCTCGTATTCCACCCAGCCAAGTCTTTCAAAGCTGTGCTTGAGTTCGGCGAGATGAAACACCAGCTTCTTGTCTTCAGCAACGATACCGTTGGCTTCTTCCAAAGCGCCAAACCTCACGCGGTCGACGCCTTTCAACGCCCGAGCGCCCAGGTCTATCGTGCTCTTCATCGTGTACTCGTGCGACAGCAGCAGCACGAACGGCTTGTCCGCTGCCCATGCTGCTGATTACACTTGCCAGGCCTTCACCCAGTGGCTTGTTGGTCGCTCGCTGCAGGTGACGCTCTTGTGGAGGCAGACAAATCGAGTACACCAATGCCAGACGAAACCCACTCGTCACTTTCTCCAATGCATGCTCGGCATCAGCGTAATGCACTGCATAGTGCGGGCGATAGGCCGCTGTACCCTCAGCTTTGCCAAAATCGTGGCGATACCGCACTTCTCCACCACGATTAACCACCAATTCCCCGCCTTCATGCAGGCTCGGCGGCTGAATGACCAGAGTTGCGATCATTCCGTCTTGCGTCTCCGTGTCCTGGTGCTTCAGGAAATGTCCGCCCTCTCCGTAGACCAGCAACTTGTAGAGGAAGCAATCCAACTTGATGTCCTTGTAGCCCAGGCGCTCCGAAATTTACCACATCATCTTGTTGATACCCCTGGCCCGCTCGGGGTTCTTGAATTGGACTTTACCAGGCTCGACCTGCCAGCTATTCCGCACTTCATCGTCCATTTTGGTGTCCATGTTGTGGCCAAAGGGGGACATCTCACACAGAGCGATTAGTTTACCGGCAAGTTCGTTGGAGAGAGGAACCGGGACGTTCCCAACATCGTCCACATAGAGCCCCGGCGCCACAGGCAGTGAATCAGCTTGTCCTCCAAATGAGTATTCCCCTGCTTGGCCGTCGGTGTGCGCCAGAATCTCGCTGATCTCACGCATTTGGCTCCTGTGGGAGTTGGCACGTCGTCAGGTTTGCCTCGGCCTCCAAATGGCCACTTTCCTTTTGCAAAATCCTTCTCGAGGTCCCTTTCTTCAGGAACGGCAGCCATGAGCATTGCTAGGAGATTCGCGTTATGCATTGGTATTCTTGATCTGCTGTTGGAGGACTTGGCGTACGCTTCACGGAAAGGAAATGGAAGTGATACAAGGCACTGTGCCGGTCGTGCGGGTTTACTTCACGTAGGGCAGACTCCCGAAGAGATGCAGCATTAGGATGAATTGGGATTCATCAATCAAATTCTGGTCAGATTATCTCTTTCACAAAACTTTCGGATCTTTAGATTAGGTTTCTTGCAAAGTTAGTAAGGAGTTTCTTGCCATTATGTTAATACTGTGGCTCAACAAAACCATATTTTCAGCTAGAAATCAATCCTTTTTTTTGTTAGCGTCCACCCATGGTACTCATCTCGATGCTACGAACGCCGCATTTAAAAAAAAGAAAACGGCTTGCATGAGCTCCTCATTCTTGCGCAGAAACCTCACTCGCAGCACTCGCATACTGTTCCTTCAAGTGCGCCAACTCTTCCCCATACTGAACCAGCCTGTTCTGGACACTGTTAAACCACTCGCGCGTCTTGGTAATCTTCACAAACGGCTCTCGGTTCTCTCTGGTTTCCACGGTATAGGATCCCTCATGTAGGGAATAGTCCAATGCATCAGCAAACGAATTGGCGTGATAAGTGTCCGTGAGCTTCACGACCCCCTCCGTAGTCATCGATTCCTCAGAACCCTGGAAGAATTCTTCATTTTCCGGGTAGTCGGGGTACGATGCGTATGGCAATTTCCAAGAGAATGTCTTGTCGACCTTGTCGAGTCTCGCGATTTGTTCTTTCAACCAACCCATCCGCTTGGCTGCAATCGCCTCCAGCACAGCAAACTTGCCTGTGGTGTCGTGATCTCCGACGTGCTTCGAGAAAACTTCGACGAAAGAGCCCAACTCACTCGGATTCTTTTGCAAAATACCGTCGGTCATCGCCTCGAACGCTTGCGAATCTGCAGGAAGGAGAACATGCTCCCAGAAGATCTCAACTGTCTTCGGAGTACGAAGTCTCACGTTGCATTTGGCTGCCTTGTCGAAGAGATCCTTCTTGGCTTCCGGTCTCTTCACTGCATCCCCCACTTGCAGCAGTAACTCCATCTCCGAGTCTCTAGATGTCACGAAAGTCTGGTACAGCTGCGTTGGATTGCCCAGAACGTCCAGCAGTACTGACCCAATCTCACTCCAGGGGAATGCGTTGATCAGTTTGACCATCACCGGGACGATAGTTCTGTTATCGTTCATATTTCCCAGACGAGGACAGTAAGTCGTAACGAATAACTTGACCAGATACGCATCACCGGCATCCACCAGCAACTCGCAAAAAGATCGGGAAAACCTCAAGGAAGCCTTCGTACTGCCGTAAGTTTTGGGCCCCCACCCATATCTAGCAACTGCCGCAGCCAGAAAACCTCGCAGTGTTGGAGCGTCAACGGGTCGGCGGGTAAGTAATTCCTCGGCTGCGAGCTCGGCAGACAAGAGGTTCAGGACATAGTCCAAGTGACGACTGGCCGGCCACGCAACAACCGCGAATCTGGCGTATTTCGTGCTTATGACGGTTCCCTCGTTACCCGTGTACACATCTTCGCTTCCCTGTAGACTTTCCATAGTTGAGTCAAGGTTTCTCGTCCAGGGTTGAGGAAATTCAGCTTCACTCCCCTCGACTCCCAGTAGCCGAGATCTTACCCGCTTGAAGTGTACCAGTGCAGGCCTTCCGTATAAAAACGAAGACACCAACCATCTTCCTCAAGTCGGGTCTCAAACTTTACAGTCAGCTCTGCGATAAAGAACCGAAGTTTCTTGTCTTCAGCCACGGCAGCGTTCGCTTCTTCCAGCACTCGAACCCTCGCACTGTCGACCCCTTTCAAGGCACCGGAGCCTAAATCTCCAATGCTCTTCATGGTGTACTGGTGCGATAATAACAGCGCAAACGATTCGTCTTCAGGACCCATGTAGCTGATTGTATCAGCTAATTCATCACTCAACATCCGACCAGATTCACGTTTGAGGTGGCGCATTGACGCTGGCAGACAAATGGAGTAGACCAGAGCAAGTCGATAGCCCTTCGTCACCTTCTCCAATGCATGCTCTGCGTCTGCGTAGTGCACAGCGTAGTGACAGTTGAACGGGGCGGTGCCTTCACTTCCCAAAGTCGTGGCGGTGTTCAACTTCTTCGCCTCTATACACCACCAGGTCACCTCCTTCGTGCGTGCTGGGCGGCTGGACAACCAGAGTTGCGATCATACCGTCCTCCTTCTCCGTATCTTGGTGGTTGAGGAAATGCCCGCCTTCGCCATACACGAGCACCTTGTACAGCACACACCGGAGAGGCACACCCTTGTAGCCCAGTCGACTGGCAATGGTCTCAGTCAACTTGTCGACCCCAGTCTGCCAGAGCGGGTTCTTGATCTCGACTTGATCCGCCTCGAGTTGCCAGCTCTTGCGGACGCTCTCGTCAGTCTTCGTCTCCATGCCGTGGCCGAACAGAGACTTATCACACTTGGCGATCAGCTTCTGCGCTTGGGCTGCGTCCAGCGGTAGAAGGACAGAAACTTCATCGACACGAAGGCCAGGCGCAGTTGGAAGAGTGTCGGCCCGACCCCCAAACGAGTACTCGCCCGCATACTCGTCAGCAGAGGCGACAATTTCACTGATGTTAGCGCAGGCAGCCCACTTCGGGACAGGCACGTCGTCTGGGTCGCCAACCACACCAAAGGGTCATTTCCCACTCTCGAAATCTTGCTTCGAAGTCATTTGTGGGCAACGGGATGTTTGCTTTGAAAAGAAAATTGTAAACTGACCAAAATGAAAGCCACCCAGAAAAATATTCAGCTTCAACTGCCCAACCAACTGACGTAAGATGACTTGATTGAAAGAATACGACATTCTCCCAAAACCTCCCTTTTGCATTACCGATTCTTCGAATTGAGGCGCAGACCGAACAAGCATGGACGAGGAGGACTTTGACGACGACAAGTGGCCTTTCACCGGCAAAGGCAAGTTTCAAGACGTGCTGAAGCCCAATGGGGTCGGATGTACCGAGGTCAGCAGACTTCTCGCTCGCGCAGACGCACACGCAGGAGAGTATTCGTTCGGTGGGCTCGCGGGCACTTTACCCGCCGTACCAGGGCTGTTTGTGGATGGAGTGGGCGCTGTCCTCACCCCGTTATGCGCTGAACAAGCTGAAAAATTGATCGCTCTGTGTGAGAAGTCCCCGTTCGGCCACAACATGGACACCAAGATGGACGAGAACGTCCGCAAGAGCTGGCAGCTGGAACCGAAGCTCGCCCAGTTCAACAACCCGCAGTGGCAGATTGGGATCGATATACTACGGAAGGTGATTGCAGACCGGTTGGGCTACCAGGACGTCCCGCTCGAGTGTTTCTTGTACAAGTTGCTGGTGTACGGGGAAGGAGGCCACTTCGTGAAGCACCAGGACACGGAGAAAGAAGACGGGATGATTGCAACTCTGTTGGTGCAGCCGCCAAGTGCACACGAAGGCGGATATTTGGTGGTTTATCGGGATGGGAAGCTGGTGTATCGTCATGATTTCGGCAAGTCCGACGGCAGTGCGGCCTACGCATCGCATTACGCAGTGCACTACGCGGATGCTGAGAATGCTCTGGAGCAAGTGACAAAGGGGTTTCGCCTCGCTCTCGTCTACTCGATCTGCCTACCCGCGACAATGCGTCACCTGGAGAGGAAGGAGAACCAAAGTTTGAGCGAAGAATTGGCCAAGGCGATCGCGAGCATGGGCAACGATGGCACAAAGGACAAGAAGAGCGAAGGCGAGCGCGAACGTAAGGTGGAGGCAGAAGAAGATGAGAACGACGAAGATGCTCAAGACGACGAAGAGGAGGACAACCTGTTTGCGCTGCTGCTTTGTCACGAGTACACCACGAGAAGTATCGTGAACCTCGGCTATGGTGTGTTTAAGGGTGTCGACCGCGCTAGATTCCACGCCCTTGAAGGGGCCACGCGCTTGTCGCTCCTGATAAGAAGCTACGTTTCTTCATTGCCCAATTGACCCACGACGTCTTGTATTACGACATTGGGTACGACAGACAGAAACAAGGTCACCACGAGTCGATCACTTGGTACTCAATGACGGGGGAAGACCTGGGCCAAGTCCGAAACTCCACGCGAAAGATCAATCTGCTCAACCCCGATAGCAAAACACAAGCCGAGCTCTGGGACGCGTATGGGCAAACGACGAAGGAAGGCGGGTATACCGGGAATGAAGGGTCTACTCGAGTCAATACGTACTCGAGGTGCGCTCTAGTGGCTTGGCGAGCGGTAGATGATGCCAAAATGGCGTTGAGGTTCCTGCCGATTGACGCTGCTGTGGACGCACTTTGCGACCAGAAACCTCTTCACCTTCTGCGGTCGACTGCGCCAACTCGCTCTCGTCTCCATCGCCGCCATGGGGCTCTGGCCGCTCGCTCTACAGCTCATCTTGGTACCTCAAAAGCATCTTTGGAGACGGACACGGCGACCGGTACGAAGAACTCTCGTACTTTGCGTTCGAGAACGATCACTACCAAGTGCTCGCGCCTCGCAAACTCGACTGCGGTGACCTTCAAGCCATCCTGTTATCTGGGGCGACACCCACTGCAACGACGGACCTCTTACGCGCGATTCCGCAGTCGACATTTGAGTCTGTTCGTCCGTATGTGGTGAACCAGACAACCGCAGACTCGGCCAAGATGCTATCGGTCAGCGCTGCCATCCTCGGTCTCGCAGCTGACAAGAGCGTGTACTTCGGTGGTGTGGACGCTGAAGGCGCCATTCAGATTGAAACGTTGCTGAGTGCTGGGGATTCCGCAGCATTCGGTGTGGTTGGTTCGTGCTTACAAGGTTCAGCCACGCACGTCCGACTTCGACTCCAATCGACTGAGTTTTACGTCCCTGACACCATGGGAGAGCTCAATCCGTCGCGCGTATCGGGCGCCATGTTGATCGTGTCCCTCCTGGATGGAAACCTAAATCCTGTCGAGAGTTCCTGCTACGATGCAACGCGTGAAGCTCGTTACGCGATGACGGAGGGCAACACCGAGTATCTTCGTCTGGTGACGGTGTACTCGAAGCAGTTGCTGGTTGAGAAAGATTGTGGAGGGTTCACACTCTTCGGTGGAAAGAGGGACACTTTCGGGTGCGCGTAATCGCCATTGGGGATGTCAGGCGCCGTGGCTGATCTCAACTCGGATGGAGCGCAGCGCACGTTCTCGTACCCAGCTCCGTGGCGCATGATTCAGTGCAGCAGGTCTGGCGAGTGCAGCTCTGTTATTCACCCAGCTTTGGCTGTCCGAGTGGACGGTAGAGCAGACTACCTCAGGAGAAGTACTTCGACACAACTTCGTGAATCAGAAGGTGAACGAGGTGACTGTGGACAGCACGTTTAGCATTCGCCGGTTGATCAACCTGCAGATCTTAGCTCTCGTCGTGACGGCGTACGTGACGAGCGCGCGCGGCTGGTTCAAGCTCAAATGCACCTTCATCTCTCCCTGGGCGAAGGTAATGAACGCAACCCCGTCGTGTACAATTGCCAAGGTGGTGCGCAGCAGCTACAACTTCATTTTGGTCGCCCAAATGGTGCTGAGTATGATGCAGTGGCGCAAGCAGTTGACGATTGACTTGCTGGTGGGAGCTGATACGAACCAAGCTGTGCTGCGAGCGTTCGGCTGTGGTACTTTGGTGGTGGTGCTGGCGATTAATATCGTCTTCGCGCGTGCGGGGGATCTGAAGATGCAAGAGATGGAGCCAACTTTCGCCCACGTGATGGGTTCCTCGTGTCGATCATCCTCTATCTGGTCAGTCGTTCCGATTCAGTGTCGGGGTCAACACGCGTTCTGCTAGCCACAGGCATGCGCTCGGTTTCAGCTAGCGACCTGACCAAGTATTCCGGTTGCCGCTGTTCGACCGTGTGTGCCATGGAAGCATCGCTGAGTGTGTACACCGTCGTTCTCACCATTGTGATCATTGGAGCCTGTTTGATCGGATTGTCAGCTCATGCGATGCTGCAAGCCTCCGTTCGTAGCGCGTCCAAGGTTGGGGCCAGCACGAGGGTGTACTTTCAAGTGAAGGGGAAACGCGAGTCCTTGTCGCCCGATGTGAACTCCTTCACGCGGTTTCTCGATGACCGATCATGCAATATTGGCCTCTACGACTGCAGCACGGGAATCTACGTGAAGATGCCAGGGGAGGCCGTGCTCTCGACGCGTGGGCAGCTAGAAGCTTGCGGTTTCGTTCTATCTTCGACGATTCTGTTTCGATACCGGGATCTCCCGCTCTTCCTCGTTGCGCGCATTGTACTGATGCAGGTTCTCAACTTTTTCAACCTGACGGTGACGACGTACGAGCTCATTCACACGAACAGGAGGATGAACGGTGTTCCTATCTGTCTTGTGGCGGATCAAGTTATCCACACGCACTGGTCCAAGCTGAACGAGGCGCGGCTGGACTGGATGGACGGGTATTTCGGTGGAGATGGCGAGACTTCCTACCGGTCTGTGGATTCCATGAGAAGGCAGTCCGTTCACAACAAACACGTAGAGGTGAGCACGTAGTACCATTGCATAGTAAGTAGTAAGGAATCCAGGACTCGTAACCATTTTTTACTAATGCATCCATTTTTTGCTTTCGTAAGGTTAGTGCCATGGAAGTAAAAAAAAAAAGTGAAACTAATAGAAATGAACTCCCATTACTTTCAACTACCGCCAAACTACTCCGTGCGCGCTCTCTTGGTCGCACTTCCCTCCTTGTAGAGCTTCTTCAGATTAGCTCTCTCGATCTGGTACTCACGCACTTTTTTCTGGCGGTCGTTATACCATTTCTTCGTCTTCGTGATCGTCACGTACGCCGTCTTTCCCTTTCCCGCAGGTTTCATGGTGAACGACGCGCCATTCTGCATCTCTCGCACACAATCCGCCGCATACTTTCTCGCTTAAGGAAGACTGTTGAACGACACCAAACCCACCGTCTTCATGGAGGTGTCGGGACCACGAAGGAACGCCTCAATCTTGGGGTTCTTAGGGAACTCGGCATTGGGCATTTCCCATGAAAACTTCGTATTCAAGCGGCGGATCTCACCCTTCAGCCACTTCGCCCTTTTGGCGGCAATGGAGGCGAGGACTGTGTACTTCTCACTTGTCTCGTCAAGGTCACCAATATACTGCGAAAACACTTCGATCATTGGGCCCAGTTCGCCCGGGTATTTCTCCTTAAAAGTGGCTTGTCAACGTCTCAAAGACGTCGTTGTTGCTTGAGAGGATAGCGTGCTTCCACAGGATTCCAATCACCTTGGAAGAATTCAAATGGGCTGTATCAGCTTGCAGGGCTGCTCCATTGTCCAATCCGTCAACTACTTGCAGCGTCATCTCAAGCTCCGTCTCCCCAAAATCTTCCTCTTGATACTCATCCGTTCTATTCCCCAGCACGGGCAGCATGGCCGCCCCAATGTCGCCCCAGTCAAATGTTTTGACGACTTTCGTTATCCCTGGGATAAGAGTCGTATTCTCACTCAAGTTACCAAGAGAAGGACAAAAGTTGGTGAGAAACAACGTTGTCAGCTCTTGGTCTCCTGCGTCGACCAGCAGCCCGAAAAACGACCGACAGAATCTCGCTGACGCCTTCTTGTCACTCGCCCAGGTCTTAAACGTCTTCCCTGAACCAAGCTTCTTACTAGCCCCGTCGAGGAATGTGCGTAGCTTTGCCGCGTCAACCGGTCGTCGATTCATCAATGCCTCGACAGCAAGTTCCGCCGACATCGCCTTCAGTGCATTTTCAGGATGTTGGGCAGCCGGCCACGCCACAATAGCGAATCTACAGTACTTTGTGTTCCGGGTCGGACCCTCGTTACCCGTGTACGGCTCTTCATTGCTGTCACCATGAGGTTCCCACATCTGCGTGTAAGTCGCTTGGGCAGGATTCAGGAAATTGAGCTTGCATTCCAACTTGGAGTCTCTGCTACGTCCGAGATCCTCTCCACTCGTGGAATACCAATGGATAGACTGCTTGCGCTCCTCTTCTCGCCAGTCGTTGTCATACATTCCGACGGGACACGAGACAATCTTGTGGGACAGCTTCGCAATGAAAAACTCCAGTTTCTTGTCCACGGGGACGACAGCATTCGCCTCGCCCAACGCTCGAAATCTCGCACTATCGACGTGCTTCAGAGCTCCGGTGCCCAGATTTCCAATGCTCTTCGGGGTGTACTCCTGCTCCAGCAGCAACGCAAACGCCTCTTTCCCCTCAACCATCTCGCTGATCGCGTCAGCAAGGTCATCATTGGTGGGGGAGTTGGGGTCTTTCTCCAGGTAACGCATCGTCGAAGGCAGGCAAATCGAGTAGACCAAAGCGAGGCGAAAACCTTTCGTGACTTGTTCCAGGGAGTGTTGAGCATCAGCGTAGTGAACGGCATAATGCATGAAAAATGGCGCGGTACCCTCTCCTTTGCCGAAGTCGTGGCGGTATCGCTCTTTCCCGCCGCGATACACTACGAGGTCACCCGCTTGGAAGCTGAACGACCAAGGTGGCTATCATCCCGTCTTCTTTCTCGGTGTCCTGGTGCTTGACGAAGTGGCCGCCTTCTCCGTAGACCAGGAACTTGTACAGCGAGCATTCAAGTGGCCCAAGCGCTGCCCAATGGTTTTAGTGAGTTCCTCGAGACCAGGAGCCCAGAGTGTGTTCGTGATCTCCACTTGATCCGGTGCCAGCTGCCAGGATTTACGAACGTTCTCGTCCATTTTGGTGTTGTAGTTGTGTCCGAAAGGAGACTTCTCACACTTCGCGATCAGCTTTTCAGCTTGCTCTTGGCCCAGCGGGACCCCAATTGTCCCGATTTCCTTGATGACAAGGCCAGGTGCGGCTAGCAACGTGTCCGCTCGCCCTCCAAAAGAATATTCGCCGGCGTTTTCATCAGCGGCAGCGAGAATTTCACTGATCTTGATACACGCTGGCCCACTTGGAACATGCACGTCTCCGGGTTCGCCTTCTCCTCCAAACGGCCAGTCGCCCTCTTCAAAATCCTCTTCAATTGACACCATTGCCGAACGACCGCGATAAATGCGAAGTGAGGACAATGCATTGCATTTTCCAAAGCTTTCGTCAAGACCAGTCATTCTATGGGATACACATCCAGACCAGTCCATCAAATATTGATTGATGAACCATTCAATTATCGACCGGCGTGAATATCCATTGGCAGTTGATGGATCCACGGATGGATTGCTCAGGGTCGAGCAGTTGGCGGCTCACTCACTCGGTTTCGACAGGTTTGGCTGATTTTGGTTGAAAATATGTGAGAAGAAATGTGATCTTCTAAACCGGTTGCAGATAGATAGCGTGCGGAAACCACTAACATTGCGAAAATGATGAAAACCACATTGCTTAAACAAAAAAAAGAAAACGGAGAGCCAAGCTCCATCGCTAAGAACTGCCGACATATTACTCGGTGCGTGCTTTTTTCGCTGGGCTGCCAAACTTGTATAGCTGCACCAGGTTCTCCACCTCGGTCTGGTACTCGCGCACACTTTTCTGGCAATCATTATACCACTTCCTCGTCTTCGTGATCGTCACGAACGCCTTCTTGCCTTTCCCAGCAGGTTTCATGGTGAAGGACGCCCCATTTTGCACACAGTCTGCAGCGTACTTCCGCGCTTCCGGGAGACTGTTGAACGCCTTCAAACCCACAGTGTTCACGGAGGTGTCAGTACCACGAAGAAACGCCTCAATCTTCGGGTTCTCGGGGAACACGGCATCGGGCATTTCCCAAGAGAACGCTCTATCCAATCGCTGAATCTCGCTCTTCAACCACTCGATCCGTTTTGCCGCAATCGCCGCGAGTGTAGAGAATCGATCACTCTCTTCGTCCAGGTCGCCAACATACTGGGAACAAGCCTCGAGCATTGGGCCCAGATCCTTCGGGTCTTTCTGCATAAAGTGGTTGGCCAATGTCTCGAATATACTGTTGTCACTGGCGCCGAGAGCATGCTTCGACAGGATTCCAGTGACCTTGGGAGAGTTCAAATCGACCGGCTTGACCCCTCTAGGAGGCGGCTTGGTATCAGCTTCTATAGTTAACGCCATCGCCAGCTTGAGTAGCGCTTGCCGAGCAGCTCCATCGTCCAATCCGTCAAGTACTTGCAGCGTCAGTTCCAGTGCCGAGTCTCCGTTCCTCAGGAACTCCTGATTCTTTTCCCTGAGCACATCCAGCATCGCCGCCCCAATCTCATTCCAATCAAATGTCTTCAAGATCTTGGTTATCCCTGGGATAAGGGACGTATTCTCATTTAACAGACCAAGGCGGGGGCAAAACCTGGTGACGAACAACGTCGCCAGGTCGGGATCTCCAGCTTCTATCAGCAACTCGATGAAAGACCGACAAAACCTCACTGACGCCTTCTCCTTGTTCGCCCATTTGCCTTTAGCCGCAGCCATCCGCTTACTTGCCTTGTCAAGAAACGCGCGAAGGTCCGCGGCACCAACGGGTCTTCGAGCCATCAAAGCCTCGACAGCAACTTCCACAGACATAATCTCCAGTGCGGCCTCAACGCGTTGCACTGCCGGCCACGCCACAAGCGCGAATCTGGAGTACTCCGTGTGCTTGGTAGGGCCCTCGTTACCGGTGTAGGGTATTTCAGTACTGCTTCCGTAGCGCCCCCACAGTTGAGCGAAAGTTGCTTGGGTCGGATTCAAGAAATTGAGGAAGCAGCCCAACTTTTCATCCTCCGTGTTTTCTAGACACTCTCCACTCGAAGAATACCAGTCGATGGATTGCTCGCGCAACATTCCCTTCCAGCCACTGAAACTATTGTACCCGTCTTTCGGACCCGAGGTGACCTTGTGCGACAGCTTGGCGAGGAAAAACTCCAGCTTCTTGTCGTCAGGAACGGCAGCGTTCGCTTCATTCAGCGCCCGAAATCTCGCACTGTCAATGTGTTTCAGTGCCCCGGTGCCGAAACTTTCAATGCTGTACGCGGTGTACTCCTGCTCCAAGAACAATGAAAAATACTCTTTCCCCTCGACCATTTCGCTGATAGCATCCACGAGGTCGTCACTGGTGGGGGAGTTAGAATATTTCTTCAGGTTCCGCATCGTCGAGGGCAGGCATATCGAGTAGACCAAAGCTAGGCAGTATCCCTTCGTAACCTCTTCCAGGGCATGCTCCGCATCAGCGTAGTGAACTGCATAGTGTGGCAAAAATGCCGCTGTTCCCTCTGCCTTACCGAAGTCGTGGCGGTATCGCTCTTTCCCGCCGCGATACACTACAAGGTCTCCCCCTTCATGGATACTTGGCAGCTGAACAACCAAGGTGGCAATCATGCCTTCTTCCTTCTCAGTGTCCTGGTGCTTGACGAAGTGGCCGCCTTCTCCGTAGACCAGGAACTTGTAGAGGGAACATTCAAGTGGCACCGAGTCGTATCCCAAGCGCTGGCCAATAGTTTTAGTGAGTTCCTCGAGGCCAGGAGCCCAGAGTGTGTTCGTGATCTCCACTTGATCCGGTGCCAGCTGCCAGGATTTACGAACGTTCTCGTCCATTTTGGTGTTGTAGTTGTGTCCGAAAGGAGACTTCTCACACTTCGTGATCAACTTTTCAGCTTGCTCTTGGCTCAACGGAACGCCAATTGTCCCCACCCCATCTACTACAATGCCCGGAGCAACAGGCAACGTCTCCGCTTGCCCTCCAAACGAGTATTCTCCCGCCGTTTTGTCAGCGGAAGCCAATAGTTCACTGATCTTGGTGCATGCTGACCCAAATTGAGACAACACTTCTCCGGGCTCACCAAATTCTCCGAATGGCCACTCGCCATCTTCAAAATCTTCTTCCACCGAATCCATTGCTTGACCAGCGAGAAAAATGCGAAGTGGGTGAGAAGAAGAAAAGAGAAAACTTAGCAAAGAGGCCAATCAACTCCAGCCATTCAAAAAAAATACGAGTTTTTGCGGAAATGATTGATCTGATGGATGGATGGCTTAGTGCTCCAAGAGTGGACATTAATAGCAAAAGTTCAGCATATATTTCGGCAACGACAACAAAACAATTCCAGCGTCCTGCAACCTTTCCCGTTTGGGCTGAAAAGCTCATTTATGGCGCGCTTTCTTCGTTGGAGCTTGGTACTGCTCCGTCAGCTGTCCCAGTTCCTCTTTGTATCGAGCCAGCCTCTTCTGGACGCCGTCAAACCACTCGCGCGTCTTCGTGATCGTCACGAACAGTTCTTTGTTCTCGTGAGCCTCCACGACAAACGACGCCTCCTGCTGCTTCCGGTTGTTGCTCGAAGCAAAGGTCTTTGTTCCACGGCGCTCTTCTCACCCCTGACAGCAACTTGGCTTCACTGTATTGATTAATTACACCACGGACGAAATCTTTTTCATCATCACTGCAGCTTTAGCATTCTCATACTCCTCTTCTGTGAGTCTGTACCTTGGTAGAACTGTCGAAGCGGTATAGGCCCTTCATCATCGTGTTCAGTGTCCTCCCAACTACTTGCACTCGGCGATCAACTTGCAGAATGAGCACTAAAAAGACTAGAACCTGTGTGTTCTTTTCACTACTGAAGGTATGACATTAGTGAAGGTATGCCTTCAGGTATGGTATTCGGCTGATCCACGCGCGCGCGCTTTCTGGCGTTACCAGTGACATCTCCACCGTAGCGATCTTGCAACTGCTTCACCTCAGCCATGTACTCGACCAGCTTTCTTTGGTTTTCAGAAAACCACGAGCGCGTCTTGGTGATGATCACGTACGCGTTCTGGCCTCGGCCCTCCGGCTCGAGCGTGAATGATGCGTTCACCTGCTTCTCGCGCATCCACTTGGCAGCGTAGTTGCGCGCATGACCAATTCCGTTAAAATGGCGCACGCCGATGGTGTCCATAGAGACGTTGGGGCCTCGCAGAAATGCCTGGATATGAGCGTTGTCAGGGAAATGCGCATCCGGCATTTCCCACGAGAACGGTTGACCCATGGATTGGAGCTGGGTATTCAGCCAGTCAATTCTCTTGGCGGCGATGGAGGCTAGAACAGCGAACTTGTTATCGGACGCGTCAACGACAGCGATATGTTGCGAAAACGCTTCAATGACTGGTTGCAGCAGGCTCGGCTTGGTGTCCGAGAACTTATTTGCGACGATGCTGAATATATCCATGTCACCGCATCCAATGGCCCGTTTCCACAGCAATCCAACGACGCTGGACTTGCTCAACTCATCCCCGCGAAGCTGCGCGGCTTTCTCCGCTGCTGCTCGGATTAGAGCTTGTTGAGCAGCTCCAGCGTTCAAACCATCAGCAATTCGTAGCGCCATTCTCAGTCCTGAATCGTCGGCATTGCTGGCCACGCGAGAGTAGTAGTGACTCATGCGCATGGGATCAGCTGTAATAGTTCTGTCCAAGAAACCCAGCAAGACTTGGCCAATATCGTTCCAATCGAACCGACCAGCCAGTGCAATGAGTCCATCAACAAGGTCATCCTTCTTGTCATACTGGTTCAGGCCATTTACGAAATTGCTGAAGAACAAGTGCACCAAAGCCGGATCTCCAGCATCCACCAACAGCTCGCACAACGAGCAGCAAAAGCCAACGGAAACAGTCTTCGGATGATCCCACGAATTCACCCCTTCACGTGGCGCCGCTAACTTAGCACTAACCACCTCCATAAACCGGCGAAGGAGCACAGCGTCAACTGGCCTCTGCGCTTGGAGGGCCCCAACAGCCGCGTTAACGTTGATGTACTTGAAAGCATTCTCCACACCCTGAGCCGCAGGCCACGCAACGACAGCGTACCGCGAATAGGTCGTGTTTCTCGTTGCTCCAGAATTACCGAGGTATCCCTCAAATGTGCTGTTACCACGGTTTGCCCATAGTCCAGAAAACGTTTCCTGCCCCGGGTTGAGGAAGTTGAGCTCCAACTTGGATCGTATGGAATGAGCAATACTCTCCCCCCTTGGCGAGTACCACTTGATGTTCTCGTAGCGTTCGTTCTCCTCCTAGGTTCCTCCATCGTCGTAGTAATTGACATCAAGTTCCAGCTGTGCAATAAAAAATTGCAGTCTTTTCGCTGGGGAGACCACAGCGTTGGCTTCTTCAAGAGCTTGGAATCTTGCGCGATCGACACCTTTCAGTGCACGCGAGCCGAGCTCACCGATACTTTTCTCTGTGTACTCATGGGACAGCAGAAGCGCGAACGACTCGTCGTCCTGGCCCATAGCATTCACCACTCCAGCCAGCTCCTCACTCAGTGTCTGGTCGTGGCTCCTCATCAGGTGACGCATTGTCGGTGGCAAGCAAACCGAGTACACGAGTACAAGTCGATACCCGCTGGTCACCTGCTCCAGAGAGTGTTCCGCATCCGCGAAGTGCACCGCATAGTGCGGCAGGTACGCCGCCGTGCCGTCACTCTTCCCGAAATCGTGACGGTACTTCTCCTCTCCACGTCGATACACTACAAGGTCTCCTCCTTCGTGGACACTGGGCAGCTGCACCACCAACGTCGCCACCATTCCGTCCTCCTTCTCCGTATCCTGGTGCTTGACAAAGTGACCTCCTTCCCCATACACCAGAAGCTTGTACAGAAGACACTGCATCGGCACGCCCTTGTAGCCCAAACGATCCGCAATTATCTCAGTAAAGGTTGCGATTCCATTCTGCCACATTGGGTTCTTGATCTCCACTTGGTCCGGCGCCAGTTGCCAGCTCTTGCGGACGCTTTCGTCCATCATAGTGCTCAACCTCTTCCCAAAGGGGGACTTGTCACACGTGGCAATTAGCTTCGTTGCGTGCTCCTCCGTCAAGGGGACGGGGACGAGCCCCACTCCATCGACATAGAGTCCAGGGACTGCTGGGAGCGTGGCCGCTTGCCCTCCGAAGGAATATTCCCCTGCGTTGTTATCAGCCCGCGCCAGCATCTCGCTGATCTGTTGGCAGGCCGGCCCCGATGGTGCCGGGACGTCCGTGGGCTGGCCCTCGCCCCCGAACGGCCACTTGCCATCACTGAAAACCTCCGAGTCGGCCGGCTCCTCTCGATTCACGTCGCCTTCATAGTCGTCGTCGTCCACGCCATTGTTGTTGGAGTTAGCTCTGCGGTAAGTGAGACCGTGGGCGTTGATTGGCTGCAAATGGCTGCGAATGATTGGTTGTTGGAAGTTGAAGTGAAAAAAAGCAACTTTGTTCGAGTGGGCAAAGACATCTATATGTACGTCGCTATCGATTTAAGGTTGCTGTTGGAGCGTAACTACTGCACGAGGATACTACACTAGGTGCTTAGTAGCTGTCCACCTTGAAGTGGTCGGCCGTCATGACCTTGGCCCAGGCCTTGGCGAAGACCTTCTTGAAGGCGTTCTGGTCCTTGGCGAACTTCTCGACCACCACCTTGAGCTCGGGCGCCTCCAGCAGCGCCAGGTCCGTGTCCATCATGTAGATGTTCTGGCCCTCGGCCTTGAACTCCTTCTTGGACACGGCCGTCCACTTCTCGTTGAGCAGCACCTGGAAGTACTCGTTCGAGAGCTTGCTGGGGTTGGCGCTGTACGAGCCGCTGAAGCCGAGCGTCTTCTGCTGCGCGGCGCTGCGAGGGCGAGCGGCCAGGGCCACGGCCTCCTCAGGCGACACACCGAGGATCTTGATGTTGTCGCGCACGGCGGTCACCGTCGAGTTGTAGTACTCGCGCGGGGCCAGGATGTCCGAGCCGTCGCCGTTGGTGGCGTCAGTGCGGCCACCCAGGAAGTCGATCTTGGAGCTGCCGGCGTCCTCAAGAGCCACCTGGCCGGCCAGCACGATGAGATCGGCGGTCGACAGCGTCGGGTACTTCTGCTTGATGGGCTCGAGCGCGGCAATGATCTGGTCCACGCCCTTGTTCACGGGCCAGTCCTTCTCGGGCGCGAAGCGGATCTTGGCGCCGTTGCAGCCGCCGGCGTAGTCCGTGATGCGGAACGTCGACGCGCACTGCCAGGCCGCGTGCACGAAGAGCGCGCCGTTGTAGGCCGCGCCCTTGCCCGTCGAGTCGCTCGTCAGGCCGTTCACCTTCTTCTTGAGCAGCGCGCTGATGTCCTTGCGCACGGCCTTGAAGACCGGCAGCTTGGCGGGCGTCGGCGGCAGCGGGTTCTGGAACGGCTGCGCAGGCGGCACGTCCTTGCCGCGGCAGCGAGCCACGGGGCCCATGTCACGCGACGTGAGCTTGTACCAGGCGTGCGAGAAAGCCTCGTCCAGAGCGGTCTGGTTCGCCGCGAACTCCTCCGAGATTGCCTTGTAGCTGGGGTCGTGCAGCAGGGCAATGTCAGCCGTCAGCATACGCACGGGTGGCGTCGTGTCCGGCACGGGACGCCACTGAATGTGGCCACCAGGGCCCTCGTACTTCTCCCACTCGCGGGTCGTGAGGCCCTTGAAGTAGCCGTTGCCCCACTTCGTAGGCGTGAACGTCCACTGGCCCTCGAAGCCGCTCGTGAACGTGTTGTTGCCCTTGCCCTTCATCGGGCCCTCGCCACAGGTTCCGGGCCACGGGTTCTCCGGGTCCTCCAGCGGCGAAGGACCGGCGCCAGTCTTACAGGCGCCGTGCGTCTTACCGAAGGCGTGGCCGCCGCCAACAAGAGCCACCGTCTCGCGGTCGTCCATGCCCATGCGCTTGAACGTGTCGCGCACCTGAGGAGCCGATCCAGCAGGGTCGGGCTTGCCCATGGGGCCCTCGGGGTTCACGTAGATGAGACCCATCGTGGTAGGGCCCAGGGGCTCCTTGCAGTCGCCGTCGACGGCGCACGGGGCCACAGCCTCTTGCTCGGGCGTCGGGCCAAGCTGCAGGCTGCTCGTGCCGTCGACGTCATCGCGGCGGCCACCGCAGAAGCCGAGCACAGGGCCACCCATGCTCTTGATGGCCACGTTGCCCGACAGCACGATAAGGTCACCCCATGACAGAGCGTCGCCGTACTTCTTCTTGATAGGGTCCAGCAGCTTCAGAGCCTTGTCCAGGTTGGTGTTGTCGGCCCAGCTGTGCTCCGGGTTGAAACGAATGCGGCCGCCGTCACAACCACCACGGCCGTCAGCGCGACGGTAAGAACCATTGCAGTGCCACGCGAGACGGATGAAGAGACCGCCGTAGTGGCCGAAGTCGGCCGGCCAGAAGTCCTGCGAGTTGGTCATCAAGACCTCCAGGTCCTTCTTGACCAGCTCGTAGTCGATCACATCGCAGCTCTTGGCGTCGTACAGCTCGGTGGAAATCTGACGGTCCTGCTGCTTCACAGACGCGATCTTGTCGTAGCCGAACGGGCAGCTGGCGGCAGAAGCTCCGCTGGCCAAGGTGGCAATTGCAGCGACGAAGGCGGCGAGACGGACGTTCATCGTTCGAGTGTGATTTGCTTTGCGGCCTCGACGGTGAATCGGATTGTGAGATATATTCTTTTGGAAAGCCGAGCGAGATCTCTTCCGAGGAGACTTTTTCTGAGACGTTTTATCCCTAGGGTGTTCTGCTGTTCGCATGGCGCGCGTACACCACGTGCACGTTGTTCGGTTGCGCTGTCAAAGCTTTGTATGACACATTATATGGGTCTCCTTGAACCATCAGTTAAACCGGAAGCATACGCTGGGATTTTGGGATCGAAAACGAGATTGGGCATGGACCTTCGGAATGAGCCACCCCCGTTTCCTGGAGGCAACGCCAGGAAAAAGCAAATCAGACGCCATTTTGGGATGACGACAAACCACGCGATTCACGGGTGTAGAAAGGTGGATCGGACAAGGCTACACACTGTGTAGTACACAGCCATCATCTTGCGAATTACTAAGTGTATAGATACTGTACTTACGGTATCATGAAGACTACCAAACGTCTCATTCCTACTGAACGATTAGCCGCGCATGCACATTGTCTAACTACTTAAGTAGAAAAGAGGGGAAGACTAGGGGGGGGGGGGCAATGTAGAACAAGAAGGATGGTATCAGTACAATACAACATCTCAAGTTCTGTTTGGGGTTTTAGGATCACGGATTGCGGGATGGTCCAGTAAACATCCCATCCACCCATCCAAACGTTCCTGTGTACGGGCATTACAGCTCTAGTTCCAGTGGTCGACTACTGCGCAGATGCTTCTACAGTGTACAGCACACTTGAAGTGGTTGTTCACAGTGTCCCAGTTGTGCTAATACTGTATGGGGTAGTGTTCAATGGGCATTTGGAGCTCCAGAACCCAATGAATACCGCGCTCTGCTGGCATGCCGGTAGACCGACTCCATTGCTTCACTGCGATCTGCATATACTGAAATCCTAAGGGCTGGTCAGGCTGGCTGGTACTGGCTCTCGGTCTGGTGAGCGAAGGGGTAGGCGAACTACTCGGTTTTGACTCAGTCTGTTTTTTGTCCAAAATGAACAAAACATAGGCACTTTACTCAAAACCCT